TGGTCCATAATATTCACTTACCCCTACTTTATCTACTTGATAATACTTTTAATAAAACACATCAACAATTTGGTTTTGACTATAAAACAACTAACTAAACATAATTTGCTTAAGTTCTCTGTTAAACGTATGACTAAAAAAACTGCTAGTTTCTACTAACTTTTATTCTAACCTTGAAGGATAACATTTAATAATTCAGCCCAATTACAAGCCCAAAACACATCAAATCGAATCAACCCACAAGTTTCTTAAACAACCCAAACTGACCCATGTGCTAAACAAACTCATTTCAACCCTCACTTCAATTTTGATGATTATTAGATTGTCAATTATATAGTGAAATTGACCGGCCTTAGTAGCTAGTATAGCCTGTAGGTCACTGCTCACAAGATGTAAGTCAGAGACAAAAAAAAAAAAAAAAAAAAAAAAAGTTAACTATAAATATAAATATACATACACAACTAACAATATGATTTAATTATAAATGTAGGTTTAGAAATAAACCTGGTGGTTGAAAATCAGTTCTGCAAATGCATAATCAACAATCACAGAATTGCAACCGTTAAGAATGACCAAAGGACAAACAATGGCTTTGTAATTATTGCCAAATGATCGAAAGATTGCTGACAATGTTTTAACTCATTGTCATAAATTGGTAAACTAAAAATATAAGACATTTCGTCAGTGACGAATCTCGTTTTTTATAAGTGGGTTCAATCAACATGAACAAATTGTATTAAATAATTTATAAATTAACAAATTACGTGAAACTAAATTACGTGAAATTACGAGTCTCTATTAACACTACTACAAAACCCGTATATTTTAGACGCATTTGCCTCGACGCCTTGGATGTGTCGTCAATGTACAATTTCGGGTTCTGCTTTTTCTCGACGCTTTTACGGGTCAAAGGTTTGTCTAGACATAGAAAAGCATCGAGAAAATCACGTGTCATACACGTGAGTCTGCCCGCAATTTTAAAATTTAATGAAAAAAAGCGGGTTGTATTAAAGAAATACTCCCAAATAAACCGCCCTTTAAAGATATTGATAAACTATTCTGCTCTCCTCTAATACTGCACTCTACTCATCACTTTATCAGCGCTACAACATACCTCGATCTTTTTTGTTTAAATTCTGGGTTTTCTCTAAACTCCAATGAATTTGGGGGGATTTTGCTCTTCACTTTCATAAATTTCAGGTAATTGATTTACAATTTGCTTTACAATTTTGTTGCTAGGTATGTATCGTTCGTTTTTGGTACCCTAATATCTCACAATTCTTTAAATTTTGGTAAAATTGGGAATTATTCTTTGCATTTCTTCGATTTTGAATTGGAGTAGAACAAGAATCGGTCTCTTATTGCGAGGTAATTTTTTGCCCTTGATTAGATAATTTAATTTCTTTTTTTGTTCTTTTTTTCGTGAATTCTGTTTTCAAATTTAAGGTTTGCCTGTTTTTTTTTTTTTTTTTTTTTTTTTTTTTTTTTTTTTTTGTAGTTTTTTATGGGTTTTGTGATGAATTTGATGGCGTTTTCTAGGGTTTTAGTTTGGGATTTTCTGTAGTAATGTTACTAGCTTAGCTTTGAATTTTCTAGCTTTGTTGTGATATCACTTTTCTGTTTTGAAGATTGTCTTGAGTTGTTTGGAAAATTTGAAGGTGTGCTGGCTTGAAGGGGGGTTAGTTTGGTTTGGTAGTCAGGTTCTTACTTATTAGGGAGGGATAGTTAGGGGTGAGTGGATACTTAATGGTTACATAAGTTTGCTAAGAATTTCTGCTGCAAAAGAGTTTATGCACCGGTGATGAGAAGGTGGGAATCTCGAGTGTTGTTAGTTTTTCTGGTAGTTGGCACTTAGCTGTAAAAGGGTCCATAAGTAGGTTATTTTTAATTATTTATTTTGAATTTCTACCCATCGGGTGCTAAGAGTTTTTGAGAATCTGTGAGTGATAGTATACACTCTATACAGTGTCATGAATCAGGCCTCATATGGAAACTGAGTAGGACAGATGGATGGTCAGTGCTTGTGTATCTAAGTGCTTTTGTTGATTGTGGTAGATCTTTAATAACATAATCTGACCATGAGAAATAGGTTGGTCTCCACTGGAAAACATCTCTTCTTATGCAGACATTGGGTCAATCCTCACCCCTCTTGGCCTCCCAATTCTAAGAGGGGGTATCTTGTCAACGTACCTTCCTCCTTTGTGGTAAAACTGTAAAAGAATCAAAAATATCCACAAAAAGTTGAAGTCCTGCCTTCATTCTTACTGTCTAGGACTCTAGGATCAATTGGTTCCTATATCATTTATAAACATCATTGAACTTTTTTATCTTAAAACTGCTCAATTAGGTTTAAATTTTAATTGATATTCTTTAGTTTTAATCTGCAATCTCAATTTCATAGTTGATCTGAGTTGGTGAGCTTAGTTTTGACGGATGGTTTGAGCTTAATTTTAATTTCTTTAGTTTCATGTTTACTGGATGGGATTAGTTACCTTTAATGGTGTACGTTTTTCCTTCTGAATTTTGATGAATTTGCCCCAATTTAAGTTTACTCGTACTACCTTGCTTGTCAAATGCAATTCCTCTGTTTAAGTGATATAAATAATAAGTCACTTTTAGTGGTGATTGAATAAGCATAGATGTTATACAGTGGTGCTTATATTAATTTCTTGGTGCTAAACAATTGCATGTGTTTATTACTACAATCTTGCTCTTGACCGTTTTCTGTTTCGATTTCAGACTCTTCTAATTTCAACATTAGCATAGTGCAACGCCATTTTACAATTTGACAAGCTTTATGTTGTTCCACCATTTACTTAAACCTTTAGCCTTAATTTGTGCGTGGATTGGAATATTTTGCATTTGTATTTTGATGGATAATGGAAGACAACAATTTGGGCACAAAAGGCCAACATGAAAATGAACAGGACATGAAATCATATGCAGACATGCAGTATACTATTAGGAGGGATCTTAATCATACAACACTTTGATTCTTAATTAATATGGAGTATTAATCTTCCCAACTGAAAATGAATACGAATTCTTGTTCAATAATCAATCAATAATTCGTATCTCCTAATGGTGCCCTTAATATCTATTATGTTTTTAAATACTTTTTTTAAAAAAATACAAAAATAAACCTGCTGTTAGAGTTGGTGCATGCCCCTGCTGCTGTTTACTTTTGGTATTGCCGGTCTGCTGCTATCGTGCTATGCTGCCAGGTAGCTCATGCTTTTGGCCGCAGCCTTGTTTTAGGTGCTCTTGCTTTTGTTGCTTTGATGCTTGATGTTTTGGGTGTTGTGGTCTACACCTGCTGATGATGTTCTGGTTATGCTGCTGTTGCATCCTGCTGGCAGCCTGTTTTGGGTAGTTACTGGGCTTTCGTTGCTGCCTGGGTGTGGTTGCTGGTTCCTGAGCTCCAGTCTGCTGATTTGCTGCTGCACGTTGCTCTTAATGTTTTGGTTTTGTAGTTTGTTCTGCTTTGGCTTTCTTTGGTGTACATGTTTTGTGCTTTACTTGCCAATTTTTGGCTTATTCTTTGGTAATACAAATTTTATTTACCAAAAAAAAAGTAGATTACTAAAAATCGTACAAGTTTGACTTATGTAAAATATATATATAAATCTCAAGCCAATAGGCTAATATTTAGGACATATCTTAAAATTTAAAGTTGTGTTTTTGTGCTCAATAGGTGGCAGAGGAGGAGCTTGTCTAAAAATTGTTCTAGATTGTGATAGTTGCTGCACTTAGCGAGTTGGCCGAGGTAACTACCTAAATTCCCAAATTATTTTATATGTCAGATAATTGTATATTATATTTTCGTGTCATATGTTTGGTAGATAGCCCTCCTAAAATAGTTTTACATAATTTATGTTATTGATCATATATGAAAAATGTAAGTAATTAAGTTGTAGATTTGTAGTGAGGTAGTATATTATATATAATTCATTATGTCTTATCTATGTGCTTATTGATTATATTACATTATTACATGTCTGTATCTATTTTTTTGTGAATGCTGCCATGTATTATTATGTTTGATCACTTTATTTGCCTTTTTTGTCTCCAACCGCATTGATAACATCATATAAAAGCTATAGAAGGGGAAACCTTTGGTAAAGTATTTACTAACCGTGCTAAAAATCAACTAAGTGATGGAATATGTTGTTACACTCTTCTTAATTATAACATTTATAATATTAATTACCAAATTATTGTTAGCTTATTATTGATACTCATTAATAATTATTAAATATTAATTTTATTATACATTTCATCATAGATTTGGATACTAGTTGGATTGATTTACCAAAAGGCAAATCTGCCTATTATGAGGGTTGCATGAAATTCTTAAAGATTGCTAAAGAGACTCTTATAGATTGAAAAACTAAATGTCCATGTCATAAGTGCAAGTTAAATAAATGACATCTTTTAGAAGAAGTAGGAGGCCATATTTTATGTAACGGTTTTTATAAGAATTATAGAAAATGGATTTTCCATTGTGAGGGTGAAGGTAGTAATACCTTAAAGCCCCCTAGGGATCATGGGAAGGAAGTAGATCGAGATGATATGGATGGGCTACTAAGAGCGGCTTTCGGGGTTCTCCGTCCACAATCCACTAATGAATTCCAAGCCCATCATCAAATGAAACGAATATATATATATATATATATATATATATATATTTTTGAAAAAACTTTTAATTAAATTATATAAAAAAAAAACAGTAAATAAAGTCTAGATGCTTTTTCTTGTCAAGAAATTTTCCTTTAATCAGTTTCAAAATTTCCCGCCACTATTTTTGTATGGACATCAAAAAGCGTCTCAAATGATTTGGGGCTGAAAACAACGTCGACAATATGGACGGGAAAAGCGTCTAGAAATTTGATGGTGGTGCTTGAATACCGATATTTTCGACGGTTAGTATACTTTATTAGACATTAATAAGCGTCGATTTTTTTTTTTTTTTTTGACAAAGGCAAAGGAAGAAAGCAAAACTACAAATAATTAAACATGTTAACCCGACAGTTCCTGGCAATGTCATTCGCTCTGCAAACTTGATTTCGCTCAACCTTTAGAACTGTGCATCTTTGGAAGGACGCCCCCACTTCCCTTAATTCCTTTAGTAACCAAGAAATAGAAATGTCCCTGCCAGGGCTTACCCGTAAATTGTCCAGAAGGCCGGTGGAGTCAGTAAAGATCAGGATTCCTTGCCTTCCCTTATCCCGCGCCCATTTCATTGCTTCAAGACAAGCCCAAGCTTCGCACTGAATGGCTGAGGCTGCTGCTCCGTGTTTGCCCCCTTCCTCAAGAGCGTAGCCTAAGGTGTTAACCTTAACAGCCCATCCAATTCCAGCTCTCCTCGACTTCTTATCCCATGAGCCATCAGCTTCCACAATGAAGTCATCGTAGCTACATTTTTCCTTCCCCGGGTGAACATGGTTGAAACCCGGGGGGATGACTTGGTCATCTCTAATTACGGTGTCCCCTTCATTTGTGGTGCTCGACTGGAGTTTAAACATTTCGTGGTCTTGCATGGCCTGGTTAACAGCTTCCATTACTGAACCTATTGTTCCCATAGTCCCCTCAAAGTGTTGTACATTCCTAATCTTCCATAGCCCCCATAATGTGGCTATGAACAACGCACAACGGATACTATGCTTACCATCCTCGCTATTGTAGAGCAGTATATAGTGCTGAATCCATCTTCGCAAGGAATTGAATTCAGATGAGTCAGGGCAAATGGCTAATGGGGTGTGCTCCCATACTCCCTTTGCCAGAATACAAAGCCTAAAGAGGTGTTGGTTGTCCTCCAAGTCCACCTCGCATTGACCACATAGCGCTTGAATTTGCATTCCTCTTCTTGCCAGATTAACTTTGACGGAAATACCGTCATGAAACAGCCTCCACAAGAAAACTTCCCATTTTGGCTGAATCTCCAATCTCCAGACCAACTTAATAAATTCCTGATCCCTTTCCAAGAAAGAGGGTCTCTCTAACCCCCTTGTATTTGAAAGATAGTAGTATCTTGTTTTAACTGTGTACCTCCCTGACGCGTGATATTTCCAGTAGCGGAAGTCCTCCTCAGACGAATACGGAAGCTCCATTGATAGGATCGTTTTTGCACTTTCCCAATCAAAACACTCCCTTATCTTTCCTGCATTCCAGGTTCTAGTTTCCCTCTCGATAAAATCACTCACTTTCCACCTCGCAGCCGCTGTCAGCGTTTGACATGAATTAACCACCGGTATTTCTCCATTTACCCATGGCATACTTATGGCCCTAATATTATTGCCATTTCCGACCTTCCAAGCAAAACCTTCTTTGAACGACTGTATAGCTTTTTGCAGACTCGACCTCCCCAAAGAGCGGTTCCCTCCTCTTGTATGAGAATTAGCCATGCAACCAACACCACCCTGTCTAAAGCCTTTGTGAACCCTTGCCAGTAGAAGTTGGGGGTTGAGCTGTATCCTTGATGCTTGTTTAAAGAGGAGAGCATCATTAAAGTCCGAACAACCTCTAATTCCCAGGCCTCCCATACTCTTAGGTAGTTGAATGATACTTCTACTAACCCAGTGCATCCCTTTACTCCCATTCTTAGCCCACCAAAACCGAGTAATAAGAGCATCAATTTTATTTGCTATACTCTGAGGAATTTTCAGGCACTTCATAACGTGAGCAGACATACTTACCAGCACCGTGTTTATAAGGATTAACTTTGCTGGTTGGGAAAGATTCAAAGCAGCCCATGAGATTATGCGTTCCGAAACTTTATCAACTAAGAATTGGAAATAAGCGCTCTTTTTACCCTGAATATCAATTGGAGCTCCCAGATGGATCCCCATATTATCCGTTTCCGTCATAGCTAGGATTTGCTTCATTACCCTTTTCAAATTCAGGCATTGGAGATTGGAAGGCATTGTTCATACGTTTCGCGACTGTAATCTCTCTTTCATTTTCTCTCTCTATAATCCTCTATAAGCGTCGATATTGAAGACACTTAAAGGCGTCACAAAATATTGGGACATAAAAGGGTGTCGAGATTTGTGACACGAAAAAGCGTCGAGAAAAAAAATAGCGACGCTTTTCAGTGTCGTAAATACTAGAAAAAAGCGTTTCAAAAGGACGGGATTTGTAATAGTGTAATATAGAAATTTAACATTTAATATTCAATCGTAATAACAAATATTAATACATATTACTACTATTTTTTAAAAATCTTATACAATTAAGTTCACACATATATAAACACAATATATTTTGTAAAATTTTCGTTTAAATATTTTTTAAGAAATTACACAAACATTTGATCACAATATGAAATCTCAAATTGTTTCGTAAGAAATATGATGTGCTTTTTTTTGTTGATTCATGAATTAAATTAATACTTATTTATAATAAGAAAAAATCATAAGAAAATATCCCCAATGTCTACGTATTTTTTAATTTTTTTATGAGATAATAAGAAAAAAAAAGCTAATGAAATTAAATCATATCATTATTTTTTTTTTTTAAATATCCAATTTTACGTAATTTTTTTTTAGAAAATTTGTTAATTACTACCTCAAAAGAGGGCATTTGTGAATTACTACCCTAAAAAAATGTTGTTAGTTATTAGTCCTTATTACCCTAAAATTGAATAATTTTAGCAACTACAACTTTTTTCCCTAATCAGCCTACTTAAGCTCTTAATGACATCATTATTTAGTCAAATTATAATTTTCCTTACCACCTCAGATAGCTACCCCATTGCACCACGAAACCCACCCCCTCTTTGTCATCCACCACGAAACCTACCCCTCTCCCGTTCCCCTGCGGCGAAACTCATCGCAATTACCGCCCCTCCCTTTTCCCTAACCCTAAAAACTCGTCCCCTCTTTGATGTCATTTTAAGAATGGATTGGTTGGCAGAGATTAGTTGTCGATCACAGAAAGTAAAATTGAGTACAGCTGATAATGAGTTGGTGACATATTAGATGCATGGTGAAACCAAGTGCCCAAGGATCATATCTGTGTTAAAATTGGATGCATCCAGTGTATTTTTGTAGTGTGAGGAATATGGAACATGAAGAGACAACTAAGCCTGAGGATATAGAAGTAGTAAATGAGTTTTCGGATGTGTTTCCAGAATAGATTTCTGGAATGCCACCCAAAAAGGCAATTACAATAGAGCTAGTTCTGGGAACTGCACCAATTTCCAAGGCACCATATCGAATGACACCTACAGAGATGAGTGAGTTAAAGGAACAATTGCAGGATTTGTTAGACAAAGGATAAATAAGTTCAAGTGCATCACCTTGGGGAGCGCCAGTGCTATTTGTGAAGAAGAAAGATGGAAGAATAAGGTTGTGTTGACTATAAGGAGTTAACTAAGGTCATCGTAAAGAACAAGTACCCATTACCAAGGATTAATGACCTATTTGACCAGCTCAGAGGCGCAACTGTGTTCTCTAAGATCAATTTAAGGTCTGGATATCATCAACTTAGGATTGCAGATGTGGATATTCCCAAGACTGCATTTAGAACGAGATATGGACATTATGAGTTTACAGTAGTGCCATTTGGATTGACGAATGCTCCAACAGTTTTTATGGACTTAATGAATAGGGTGTTTTATCCATTTATGGACAAGTTTGTCGTAGTGTTCATAGATGATATAGTGGTGTATTCGAAGAGTAAAGAAGAACATGTAGAACATCTGAGGGAAATTCTGCAAACACTAAGGGAAAACAAGCTTTATGCAAAGCTCTCTAAATGTGAGTTTTGGTTAGCATTTCTGGGTCATTTTGTGTCCAAAGATGGGGTAGAAGTAGATCCAGCAAAGATCGAGACTGTGAAAGGTTGGCCTACGCCAAAAATAGTGTTTGACGTTAGGATTTTCTTAGGTTTAGCAGGGTATTATAGGCGTTTTGTGAAAGATTTCTCAAAGATTGCTAAACCTATGACCTCTCTAATGAAGAAGTACAAGAAGTTCGAATGAGATGACAAGTGTGAGGAAGCATTCCAACTCTTAGAGTGCTTACACTGCCAGACGATAGTGGAATTTATGATGTATATAGTGACGCATCCAAGAATGGTCTAGGGTGTGTACTTATGCAAAATGGAAAGGTAATTGCATATGCATCAAGACAGTTAAAGACTCATGAAGTAAATTACCCTACTCATGACTTAGAACTAGCTGCAATCATTTATGCACTAAATATTTGGAGGCACTACTTGTATGGAGTGAAATGTAGGATTTATACAGACCATAAGAGCTTAAAATACATTTTCACTCAGAGGGATTTAAATTCACACCAAAGAAGATGGTTAGAGTATACGACGAATTATGACTTAGACATACAATATCATGAGGGGAAAGCAAATGTAGTTGCAGACGCTCTAAGTTGTAAAATCAGTCATGGACTAAACACTTTGATAGTGGCTGATAAGTTATGTAGAGAAATGAGGAAAATGAATCTGGAAGTGGTAGCATGGGGAGTGCCAGCAAGCATACTTGCGAATCTAAGTATTCAACCAACAATATTTGATGAGATAAGGGAAAATCAAGCAGGAGATGTAAAGTTGGAAAGGATTCGTGAGAAAATAAAGCAAGGAAAAGCTATGGACTTCAAAATTCACGAAGATTGGAGTTTAAGGTACAAGGGTTGTTGGTGTGTACCACAAAAATGTGAAGAGGTAAAGAGAAAGTTGATGGAAGAAGGCCACAATACACCGTATTCAGTACACCCAGGAGGGGACAATCTATATAAATACTTGAAAAAGATGCATTGGTGGCCCAGAATGAAGAATGAGGTTAGGTTGTGGAATTTGTGGCAAAGTGTCTAACTTGTCAGAAAGTGAAGATAGAACACAAATACCGCAAGGAACTGTGCAATCATTGGAAGTTCCTTAATGGAAATGGGATTGTATTTCAATGGATTTTGTGACTTGCCTCCTAAAGTCAAAGAGTGGAAATGACACCATTTGGGTAGTGGTAGATAGACTTACAAAATCTGCAGTGTTTACGCCAATGAAGGAGACCTGGAAGATGGAGCAACTTGCAAAAGCTTACATAAAAAAATGTTGTGAGGTTACATGGAGTTACAAAGGATATTGTGTCTGACAGAGATTCTAGGTTTCTTTCAAGGTTCTGGAAGAGTGTGCAGGAAAACTTTGGTACAACACTTAAGATGAGTACAACATTTCACCCTGCCACAGATGGACAAATTGAGAGAACCATTCAAACCTTGGAAGACATGTTGAGGGCTTGTGTTATAGATTTCCAAGGGTGATGGGAAGATAGCTTGGACTTAATTGAATTTTCCTATAATAATAGCTACCATGCAAGCATTAGCATGGCTCCATTTGAGGCATTATATGGAAGGAAGTGTCGCAGTCTAATATGTTGGAACGACATAAGTGAAACAATGATCTTAGGGCCTCAAATGATCGAGGATACAGTTAAGTAGGTAAAGGAGATTCAAGCTAAGGTTCAAGCAGTGCAAGATCGCTAAAAGAGCTACGCGGACTTGAAGCGTAGAGAGGAGGAATTTGAGGTCGGTGACAAGGTATTGTTAAAGGTGTCACCAATGAAAGGACTCAATCACGTGTTGACACATGGCTATTTAAAAAAAAAAAAAAAAAAAAAAAAAACAAAAAAAAAAAAAAACTCTTTCAGCAGGTTATCAGCCATTGGTCTATTGGAGGCAAACTGATAGCATAGTTGGGATTATTAGATAATAAACCTTAGTTGAGATTATTAAAAGTAAATAAACCATAGTTGAGATTATTAAAGTGTATTTATCCAAAATTAAATGACTCACTAATTTTCAAAACTAACCCACTAATTTCATGACCCACCCATTTCAACTCAAAACCGTTTCAACGTAACTTGAGTAGAACCAAACCGTCAACCCGGTCTGCTTAATATTGCCACTAAGTAAATAATCATCTGGGTAAATTTGTACAACCTTCTGCAAAGCATGGAATTATATTTTTAACAATAAAGACAAGGGAGTAAATTAAGATTACTCTTATAAATAGTGTGTTGTCTATTATACCCTTTAAAATGTGCATTTATACGTTTACCTTAATTAGTGGATGAATGTGAATTTTAAACCATTATTGTATGTAACATTCACGAGTAAAATGAGAATAAAATATAGACTACATATATGTGGATCAGGATCAATTATTGTAAAGATGAGTGAACAATCTAAAAATAAAAGAAGAAATAAAGCATGATAAGCGGGCGAAGGGAGTAACATATATGATATATAATATAATAGAAATACATAATTTAAACATTCTACTAATCACCTTGTGAAAAAGATGTAGCACATATAATAGCCAATGCAAAGATTAATAAAGTACATTTTATTACAAGTATGATATAGAAACTAGAAAGCAACTTATCTTATCATCCAATAACTCAAAAGTGATTAAAATTCAGATGATTAATCAAGCAAATTAAGGAACTAATTAATAATAACTTAATACTAAAACAGACATTGGGAGTGCTGTTTTTTTCCTCCAAAATTCTCTTTCCCTTTTTAACCATTTTTTTTTTGTGAATATTTGATACAATTATAATAATATCATTTCAAATTTTTTATATTATCTTTATGACAAAAATATTTCTTTTTATTTGTTGCTTATAATTCTTCCCTAAAATATTAATCTACCTCCTTTTTAATATTTGTAGACGGAGTAACATTAGATTTTGCTTAAAAAGTAATACTCCGTAATAAAATTGATTCATATTATTGATATTAAAGAAATTACTTTAAAGCATCACTTTTATTTGTTAGACATAATAATTTTTTTTTAAGAAAAATTACACTTACCGTGCATGGCACGGGGCCTAAGCTAGTTTAAATGATAAACCAGTTCCCTCAAGTTTTTGTTGCATTAATACATTCAATTTTTCCACCATCAAAGGGGTGAAATAATTGGTCCAATCACCCACCTCTCCTTTTCTAAAGAAGTCCTTAGTTTTCAAACCAGTGTAACTTACCCCATTTTTGTTCACATCCAATTCCTTGAGATTCTTAATGCTACATAGCTCTATAATGTCCTTAATAACGCCTCCACCTTCCTCTTGGGGAGAAAATGGCATACCTACAAACTCGGCCAACCTTTTTAACTGAAGTGTTGGATCATCTTTCAAATCCTCGTACTTCAGAAATAATACCTTATGTGGCCTCTCTAGGCTTTGCTTCCAGTATTCAATTGCATGCTCGAAAAAGGGCCCATAGAGAATTTTCCCATCCATAAAATTCTTGAAATAGTCTTCTAGACTATATGGTTTAAAATCCTCCCCATATAGATTTTTTGCAGTCTTTGTGTAGAAGTGCCATTGCGACACCAACGAGTCCAAGGGATTTCGAGTAATGAATATGATACGACACTCAGATTTCTTGATAGACTCAGGAAGAGAAGTGTAAGGGACGTGGGTACTAAAAAGCCTTGGCGAAGGGATGTCATCAAGAGTAGATGGACAAAGGTTATTATCTTTACCAAATTCACCATAGAATTCACCATAGATACCATTCTCTAGGCGATATACAAGATCATGAGGGTGACCAGACAAGATAGGGTGGTTTTCACGGGTATTAGGGTAGTGGACGCGATTGACAACAGCAAAGAGTAGAGATTTCAACCAAGTGGTGCCGGTTTTTGGTATGCTAGATATGATAAAATCGCTATCTTGAGCTTGGAACTGTTTTTGAAATGTGTACGTATTTTTTATGTAATGCTTATCAAGATGCCAATAATCTTGATATCTTACTAGCTGAAATTTTTTGTTGCATCCCATGAAGTCTGCCTTTGGAAGACATTCCTCAAGCTTTTTAGCTTCTTTTTCAAGGACTAGTAATGCCTCATTTTCATGACTTTGAGTTATTGTCATGTTGACAAATTTTGGGGTTGTTTGTGGATGGCTTGTTCAATTGCTATGGCCGCAGTACATATATATATAGCCAATATGTGCACAGATAGGCAAATGCGACTAGGTCTTTTTTGTAATATTAATCGTAATTTTTTAACATGCATACATAAAGCATCTCACCTAATTGATGATAATATTCCCTTAATCATTTTTTGTCTTATCAAGTGCAATTTTTTAATTTTCTTGTATTTCCCTTCTTCCCAAATTGAATTAATAATGACTAATAGTTTATTTTCAATTCAATTACTCATAAAGTTCGATTGGAATATGGCATGAATCATGCATACGTTAATTATAAATTCAAAATTAAATAAAATCAAATTTGGCTCCACATAATGTCCAACATTGACAGTAAACATTTTATTTTCGTTTTAAGTAATTAGTTCAATAGATACTTTTATTTTTTTTGACAATACTCGTTACTTAGCAAAAAAAAATCCTTAAATATCCAACTTAAAAATAGATTCATCGGCACGTATTAAATTATGCTATAACTTAATAATTAAAAAACAAAAATTATTATCACGTCAATTAATTTCAACTTCTATAAGCTTAGGAAAAATACAAATTCCTATATTTAAGCTTAAATATCCAACTTAAATAAATTCACTTATCGTTTTCACTTTTAGCTCCTTATCTGCAGTTTGTACTTGGGGCTTTTAAAACCATTCTTCATGAATAAAAATGGTTTAACAAACAAAATAAACAACATTTACGTCAGAGTCACTGTTAATAAAGTAATTCATATTATTAGCCCCCACAATAGTGTTATGGGTGTTCGACTAATTTACTTGTAGGATTTTTCTGAAACTGAGAATGATCATAGTAAAAGGCAATACTTTCCATATGACAGTATATTGGAGAAGAGAGGAAGAAGATAATCATGTTTCACCCAATCATCAGAATTCATAATAACAAACGGATGAAGTATATTAATACGTGAGCCATTTAATTAGCCCATATTTTGCACTAAAATAAGCTTAAACAGCTATATCTTACAACCACAAGTTAGAAATACATACATAGAAATAACTGAGCACAAGCAAATTTACAGAACATTATTAAATCCAATCCTCAATCCCATGCATAAACTAATTGCATGATCCATTATACTCCGTAGGTCTAAGCATCCAAACTTAGTTTCTAACCTATACGAACAAGAACAAAGTATAAGTACGAGTATATGTTAAAATATTGCTATAGACGAAAATTAACGAAAACCTTGTAGTAAGTTATTTGAACTTAATAGCTCTCATATTATTTTATTTAATCTCGTCTGGACTTGTTAAACCTTTGTTTTATTTATTACACTTTTTAAACCGGAAATGAGTGAAAATAAGATGAGAAGATTAGAACCGTATTACATATGCAACTATGTAATTACTCCATAAGATACCTCTATGTTAACGTTGTTTTCTCCTACATTCCTACAGGGCACAATTTCTGCAATTGCTTAACTGGATACCTTTCAATAATGTCATAAATCAATATCAGTAACTACTTTCTATGCTTATTTCAGAAATTACTAATAGTTTTCTGCAACAGAGTGTCACGAAAATAATTGCCAAAGCTAATTGCCTCCAAAAGCCAAACAGCCACAGAAAAAACAAACCTCTTGGATGTACTAGACCTCACCCGGATTAGTGAGTGTGCAACAAACCTAAAGCTCAATCACCAAACAAATGTCTTCTAAGAATACTTTGATTTCACTTGTATTTTACATTTTTTTTTCTTTTTTTCCCCAGAATCTCCTTTAGTTACCATACCTTTCCTCAACAGATCAAACTGATGCGAGTTGCAATGCATGCTAGAAGTTGCAGGGTCTGTCTATATGTTAGTAGCAGAGTCAGAGAGCATAAATATGTGTAATGGAGAGATTAAACCAAGATTTCAAAACCATGTCGACGTGTGCAAAAAAAAAAGCTACACTTAAAAGTCTTACCTTCAAACGACATATGATAGTAATGATACTTTCAGAGTGTTCTCATTTGAGAAAGTTAAGGATGAAGTTAATTCTCACACAATGACACTGAGATTTGGATTACCTTCGAAGTGAACTACCTCAAATTATTATATTTCGGATTTCTTCAAGTTTCTTCAGAATCTCCACTGGACTGTTGTCCAATTCATCTGCAATTTTCCTCTGCATATCAATCGGCAGTGTAGGGAATTGCTCACATAGATCACCGTCAATCACACCCTACAAAATCATTCATAACATATTCACATTCGTCAAAGAACTATCAGTTAAAAAATCGATCATATAGACTTGCAGAAACTAACACCGACTGTATAATTTAAAAATACGTGATGCAGTAAGCCATCTAGGATAAAAATCATCGGCAGCTATGTAGAGCTCGTTCATCCCGTCTGTACTTGAAATAATGGAATGACTGCAAAAACGACATAATAAACAAGTCAGACAAAATCAAACACTGCAAAATACATGCCAATTAAAACTGCTTACCTCCTGCATGTCACCCACATAAATACGACCACAGTAGGTGTGTATAGATATAATTGTACTAGGAAACATCTTCTACTCACATTTCTTGAGCAGTCTCTTCTTGCCCAAGTCATAAAGCCCAAGGACGGATCCTATCCCCGCAAGTAGTCTTCCCTAGCTAAGAGCCAACGGGACATCATCGACTTGAGTCTTATGCAAAAGCTCCAGTTTTTCACCATCAACAAATTGATAAATGTGAATATACGCTGCATCAAATGATCTATTGGAGGAAAATTGGAGCGACTTTGCTGTTCCTATGGCTAGCAAAGCCCCATATTCCATGTCATGGAAATTAACAGTACAAATGCTAAATGCAGCCTCATTATCCTGAAGCTCTAGGCAACATACTGTGTCCCGTTCTTGGATCAAGGACTCTTATGCACGAAACCCATTTTGCTTTCTCTAGCTTTGGATAACCATACTGCTCATCAGATAGCTGACTGTCATCATCTTCATGAGCATTTTCCATTTCAACATTACCATTCTCATCCTTTCCAGTCCTAAGGCATTCCTTTCTTGCTGCTTCACGTTCTTCAGCAGTTAATGCTCGTTGATCACTCTCAATTATCACCAGAACTTTTCGCTTGGGATAAAACACGAGTTTCCTTGGTGTGTAGTTTGACTGAATGTTTCACCAAGCCACTCAACAGTAAACACCTTAAGTGACTCTGCAGCAACAGCAATTACACCCTCTGCACATTGATCAGATGAAAAAGAGGCAGCAAATTCAAGAGTGTTGCTTGTCAGAGGTGTTAAGAGAAATTGTCCCTGATAAATGTATCCGAGCCAAGGACGGCTTGATAAGCACAGTACAGCATGCTGACCTCTAATAGTTATTGAAAAAAGTTTTGGGGCTTTAAGTCCTAAAAACCGGGAACTAATATCAGAAAGTCGACCAGTTACCATGTCCACAACTGTTCTACACAGCATACCATTCTGCAAACCAGCATTTAAGAAAAGATTGGCATGATGACCAGCACCATCCTCTCCCCTTGTCGATGCTTGAACCTTGAGGAATTGAAGAGACACAAGGGACAAGAAAACACTTTGCATACTCAACATTTGCATACAGTCATTCGGATCCAATGACATGATGCGAATAAGATTATCACAAGTTCCAACAGCAAGGAAGCGGGACCTTTCCCTTCCTGCTGGAACTGGGGCAATGTCTAAGCACGCCACATCTCCTTGCATCTCGCATTTCTCCACTTCCATTAACTGACCAGTATATCCACCTCAAAGTAAATGAGCTCTCCCTCACTCAATGCAATGACAGCTTGATGACTGTTGTACCCGACCTTAACAATTGTATTCTTTCCTGGGTACTCCACTTGTTGATGCGCCCATCTTCCCTAATGTTCCTAATACCACTAGGATAGAACTGGATAAGAGAGTCATCACCCATCAAAACTACAGCAAGAGAAGGTGTAGTATCCAAAAATCCACTATCAATTACTTCTTCAACTGTCTCACCAATCGAAAGTACAAGAGTAGCAGTAGCAAAGGGGACTACAACATAAGCATCAAATTCATCATTGGCATTTTTCTTGACAGTCCAAACTCCATTTGGCACACCTGGAAGTGAAGAGGTAGCCATTTCCGTAATTTCCAAACCAGGCCTCAGAATCCTCAAAGATGAACGAGGACCTTGACCACAAAGAGCATATATCTGTGGAGTTTCTTCCTCAAAGAAATTAGTCACTTTCATATCCATTATCGGCATTAAACTCCGAGCTATATCAACTTTTACTAGGTTCTTAAGCCTCCTAGGTTGGAAAAACACTGGTCAAAAACCTTCCTCAGTCTCTAATTCTATCATCCTAGCAGAGGAAGACTCTACATCAGGTTCATCTCCTATGTCCATAAACTGATACAAAGCATGATCACCAAACTCAGAAGCAGCAAACAGATAACCAGGCTTAACAACACACATAGAACATGTTACAGGAATCGTATCAAAATACTTAAGCTTCAACTCCGAAACACCCTCATCCCCACACTCCAAAGTGACCTTAAATACATCACCATACTCCGATTGCAGCAAAAAGAACGGCATAGATTTATGCTTAACAGCAGACACTATCAAAACCCCGCGTTCAGCAGGCAAATCCAACCTCCTAGGAATCAAACACCTAACATCTGGATGCCCTTGATTCTTATAAATCACAAAATTCTCAGCACACACTAACATCCCACTCGGCCCATCCCTGCCACCAGGCACTGCAATAAGCATATTAGCACCATTATCAATAGGTTCAGACCATTTTCTCGAAACATGGTTAAGACCAACATCAAGTTCACAGAATGCCAAATGTTTCTGAGCCTCGGCCGCAGCCTGCCCTGTACAATCCTTATCAACCTCACTATAATCCATCTCAATCGCAGCGAAAACGGGGTTATCAAACCCACAATCAACCCCAGAAATAGCATAAAGTTATCACATGAGACTTATGAGCCTCAATAGGAGATGAAATCGTCAATCTAGCACTAGAATCCCTATTCAAAACATACACAAACTTCTGTTTTTCACAAGCTCCTACCATAACAGCCCTCCCTTTCGGATCAACACCCGAAAACTGACCCGGAACAACCCGACGACAACCCGATTTCCCAAAAGTTTCCTGGTGACTTTTATCAAAAGAATTGCTAATTTTATTGTATTCTAAGATTACAATACGACCAGAATCAGAACCCACAACAATGTAGTCTTTTTGAGACCCAGTAAGCCGAAATTGAGTCAAAGAACGTATAATTCCGAAAATTTCGACGGAAAGTAAAGTAAGAAGTTTACCATTGTCATCGACGCGAAGAAGGTCGAGGAGTTTGCCCCGAGAAACGGCGATTTCTGGGTATTTGTCGCCGGAGAAGTTGCCGGAGATGGCAGAGGTAATGCCGGTGGTTTTTTAGAGGGTTAAGCTGTAGAGAATCATGGTTAACTAAAAGAAAGGAAGTAATAATGCAGGGTTTTTGGAGTATTACAGAAATGACAAACCCTTAAATTTTTTGTAGGAAGAGGAGGATTTTTATTTATAGTTTTTGAGTAGTAGTGTTGTGTGGACTTGTGTCCGAAGATTTATTCTCTAAGAGCAACAATGTAATGAGTAATGTGGAACCTCAATATCCATGGACTTACTGGCTAAATGGAAATTGGCACATACAATAAATGGGATATGCATTCGAGTAATTTTTGTCCGAAAATGGGATATGCATTCGAAATGGATGACTAAGTTACTCGTTATTTATAGCACGAGCGAGATGGAAAAGGATTGAGTAATTTGTCCAATTATTGATTCTGAAAATTTCTATAATAAAGTTTGTAGGTTGCTAATAGAATTTCATGTTCATGAGTCTGCTATATACTTTGATGGAAAACTTTAATTTAATAAATAGTCATGACGTCACGTACTTATGATGGTGTATAACTGTTTGTCGCTCAAATAATAAGATTGATGCGTAATTTGAACTATTATTAGTTTGCAAGAATTGTATTTGAATAAAAAGGTCAGGAAAGTAATTTGTAGAATTGAGTAAGAACTTGTAAGACTAGTAGAATGGTAAGCTTGTTGTAACTATGTTCAAAATTCATGCAAGAATAAGCATATTAGCTTATTAAGTAATAAAAATGTAATTTGATTAGGTTGATATTGCGATTGATTTTAGTTATAACATTGTACTCCATAATGAACATTATGATAGAATTTGAATGTTTGATAATGAAGACCCTTTCTCCCAAATTCTTCCAAGTGTAGAAAAGTAGAATGACTATTGTGCCACAAACAATAACAAAAACAAAAACAAACAAACAAAAAAAAAAAAAAAAAAAGGAAAAGTGACTGTTACTTGAAGTCAATTAAGCTAGTTGATAATGGACCGAGATGGACTTTTGCCAAAATAATGGACCGACCATTTCAAGCCCATTACATAAACTCGAGGATTTAAGACTATGCATGCTTTTAAATTACTTGTTGCAAAAATCTAAATAATCCATTCATATCTTGATAATTACTTGTTGCTTGATATAAGGAGAACATGGGAACTATAATTAAACAATGTAGAATTATATTATAAAATCCCTTGTGCAAAACTGTCAAAAGAATCTAAACATTAAAAAGGAATCAAAGAACAAAAGAAATTTCTAATATTCCTATCCACATGCATCTCTTTATTCTAGGATCGATCCTTAGTTAGGTTGACATTTCTCAATCCATTGATCTGATAATTAACCATTATTGCATGTTTAATTAGTTAATATCCTTTACAAACCATGCATATTTGCTTCACGCAACTTTTTGAAGCAAAATAATGTGAAAAGAAAGATTGATTTCCCAAGAACCTTTCACAAGACCTTGGGCTCTTGCTCAATTAAGCTAAAATCTTCATCTACATGCGTATATTTATATATAAATATACAATAAGATTTCACATTTTTAATGACTATAAATGCCCACCAATTTTTTAACTGCAATAAATTGCAGAAGTTAAAAGCACAAATTCTTGTAGTGATATAAGTCACATAATAATAACCACCTAGCTTAATGACATTTCATTTAATTAATTTATCCTTCTAATACAATCTCCAATATTCAAATGACTCAAACTAACAACATACACCTTACTCCATTCTTCCTGTGAATCCACGATGAACCACCACAACCCACCCATTTCCGATCCAAACTCGATCTAAATCAACTCGATTCAATACCTTGAGATCCAAGAAATCCGATGAACGAACTCGTGATGTAAACACTAAATAAATATCCAAAAATAAATATCTCAAATCAACAAGGAACATACACAAAGAACAAACATCATCATATATACATACACCGACGGCGCGTTCTAATCACCACAAATCAAGCAATAACAATGAAGAAATCAAAGAACTAGCTAGCTAAATTTAGCTAGCAAATTTTGTTCGATCTATACTAGCTAATGATTTAATTCAAACTAGCAAAACCACCTTGTTTCATCATTTTCTTAAACTCTTTAAAGCTAACCATACCATCACCATCCACGTCAACTTTCATGATCATAAGTTTACAATCCTCCAAGTTCCTCCCTTGGTTAAGTCCAAGGGAGCCAAGAACGGACCGTAACTCATCTACCGAGATAAACCCATCCCCGTTCTTATCGAACACGTTGAATGCCTCCTTCATGTCCTCCTCGTCGGATTGAGCATCAACCTCACGTTCCATAAGAAGCGTGTATAGGGCTTGAAACTCGTTACCGTCAACACATCCGTCGCCATTGACGTCGATTCGACCGATTAGTTGTGTAAGGTCGGAGTCAGGGATAATGATCCCCATGTTCGTAAGCGACTCACGTAACTCCCCCATTGTTATCATCCCGTCACCGTTGTGATCAAACATTTGGAATACTCGCATTAGCTCTACCGCGTCCATTGCCTTTGTGGAAGGCGGTGGTGGTTGTTGTTGTTGCTGCTGTTGATCGAGTGGTGGCAGCGAGGGAGAAGGGGAAGGAGGGTCGAGTGGTGGGATATTGGAGGTGTGAGTAGTGTTTGTTGTGGTAGGGAGGAAATAAGAGGAAATTGGGGTGTTAAGAAGGGAAGGAAAAGAAAGGGAAATGGTTGGCATTTTTTGGTGTATTTGTTAACAAGTGGTAGGTTTTTAACTTTGTGTGTGTTTTTTTGTTTAGGAAAAATGATTGTAAGGCAAAGGTGTTATGGTTTGTGTCCTATAAATGTTTGTGGGGGTGTGAAAGGTGGAGGGAAGGGGGTATTAAATTAGTGTGGTTATTTATTTAGCATTGAAAATCAAGTCAAAAATAAAATCAATGGTGAGAATAAGAGATGTAGTTGGTGGGTTTGTTATATTGACATTAATTATATATTATATATGCGGGATGCTAACTTATTTAATTAAACTCTTAAAGGTGTTATATATTGGAAATCTGACATCAAATCTTGTTTATAATACTGTCCTTTATGGCTTGATCTCTCTACATTCAAGAAAAAAAATATAGTTCGTCCAAGAAAAAAAATATAGTGACAATGTCATTATATATGCATTTATAATAATATATTTCAGAAATAATATTAATTAAATATATTTATGTATCATGAGTAGTCATGTAATGTTTGTTCTATAAACCATTTAAAAAAGCACTTGCTTGTCCTTAAATTTTTGTACAATAAAATAAATTCAATTTTTCTTGAAATATATCTTTGTTTCTATGAAGGTATATATATTTGGTTTCAGGTATGTCATATCGAGTTTTATTTTGAATATATTATACTTCGTATATAGCTTAGTTAATTAGTAATACAGTAACATACTCCGAGGACAATGAGTCACATTAGTAATACTTAGGAGTAAAAAATTGGCAACCTAAATCGGTTTTTAGCATATTATTTACAGTTTTTAGAAAACTATAAAGGTAGTAAGTAATTCATAACAAAATATATATACATATATATATATGTCATAATCATCAATATACTCAAGATTAAGTTTGAAATTGCTTTTAATTTGCTTTTTCATTATATTAAAAATTTATGACAGGCTTGCTAAAAAGTATGGTAATGGTTGCTGTCAATGGAAGGTATAAACTTCCTATAAACAAATAAAAGAAAACGCGTTGTTATAATTGTTAATTAAACAAATAAAGGAAGTACTATTATAATGTGGGGTCAAACCTTAGCTAATATGTGGGGATCACCAATTAATTAATATAATTATGATACTATTATGTTGTGATTAATGAGTTAGCTAGAGAGAGTGGGAGACAGACTGAAAAGGTAGTTTATTAATAGTAGTGACCGTTGATAACGGATCTAATATATAGAGACGTTGGAGAATGTAACATGTAAGCATTTTTAAAATACGGTTGGTTTGGTTTTGGTTGAGCATCTACACTACAACTTTGCTGCGTGATTGGTGTTGGTTTTGACTGTTATAACCCCCTTTTATGCTGGGGATGTGGTGAAATTACAACCTAATACATTGTCTTTTCAACCTCATTTTGCGTACTCTAGGATTATTATTACATAGGGAGGATTAGTTTATATTTACTAAGGATGTATTCGATATATTTACATAAGGATAACCATTATTCAAACTTCAAAGTCATTACACTCTAAACACGTTAATTAATTAAGCTTGTGTAACATATGAATCACACATGAGTCTGCGTAAGGGGCGAAGCGGGGGGGGGGGGAGCTAGCCCTGCCCCCTGCAACCCAACTTTGTGACTTTGATATTTATTTCTGATTCCTACGTGCTTTTGGATATAAATTAAACATCTCAGCATTATAGTAAAATTTAGCGTCTAACATAGCGGAATTATTTTTTCAGATTTTAACTTTCATAAACCTTGATACCGGATTCGACCGGCTACTCCAAAAGGGCCAAGTAAACTAGATTTTATTTTTTTGACAAAGTAAAAAAAAGGCCCAAGTAAACTAGATTAATTTATATATATTTTATAATTATACTACAACAATTTTAATACTTTTTTAACTGTTAATTACTAAACTTTTTGGACTATTTGCTTACATTACATAACATTTTTATATTTTACCTTTGAGTGTGATCCTAAACTACTAGTACTTAAACAAATGTATAATTATCATCCGAATAAGTGTGAAAACAAGATAATAATCTCATAGACTATAAGCAATTCAACATATACATTTATATTTTGTAAATTGAAGTATCTGCATACACTAGTGAGTAGTGAGTGTGGTGATCCTGATGAATGTATGTATGTAGGGAAGATAGTTGAAAAGGAGAACAAATATATAGGAGTATAGAGTTGTTCCCTAGTATTCATATCATCCTTAAAATTATTGAAAAGTATAAAACCCCAATACTAGATTTCACCTGTAATTTATTTTTTAATGACTTTGAAGTCACGGGTTTAAATCTTTTTTTTTTATTAAAAAAACAACTTTGAAGTAAAATAAGAGTTGGTATAATAAGCAATGAAATAACGAGTATTGGCCCGACCCGATAAAGAATGTTTTTTACTACTGATTATTATCTTAAAATAAATAGGCATATTGGCAATGAAGTCGAACATAATCGATCCAACCCGAACCTAAAACCTATCCGTATAATCTTACTCATAAAAACTGTCTCAATTCAAATTGATTTGATCCAACCTCAGCTTAATCTAAACGATTCGATTGTCGCCCCTACCTATATATATCCACATAGAGTACATGTAAGTCTTTGACCAATGACCACCATCTTAAACAACTTCCCCTGAGGCTATATTTTAATGTTGATTACGTACAAGAGGCTAGTTAAAAGGTGGGTTGACTTTGAAGCAAAATAAGTGCTGGTGAGAAGAGGGGCAACACTGCAACATGCATAGTGATAGCAGTTATTTAGTACTCGATCATAGCAAAGATGATAATATGAGTCTTCACATGAAAGAGTTAGCTGGAGTTGATTTATGACAACAAAGTCCCAACACCCCCCATGCATGCACACATATTCTTGACAGATCTAACGCGTTTTATCCATCTTTTTTGGTGGTAGCTGTAACTACACTTCAAAGATATATTTGTACAAAATATTTTTGGTATACAAAATCTATATTAAAAATATAAATCGGAATATTCTCAAAGATTCTATTGAAATTCGGGTTATATTTCGTATCATTTTTTTGTTCCACCTGATTCATCCTTTGGGCTAATTTGGATTCGAGGATCAGTATTGGATGGTCTCAATTGTTATTGTGGGGGATCGAACACGGGTTTTTCCTACCAAATGCAGTCTCAATCACCACAGCACCAACAACCAATAATAATGATTGATAAAGCCTAAAGTTAACTATTTACGTTGATTGTGTTACACATACACATCAATAACTATATACTAAAAAACACACCAGCAATGACACGTGTCATTTTCTGGTGTGTCCAAAAAAAAAAAAAAAAAACTATTTAGGAAACAAATCTTATATATAAATAGAAGATTAAAAAGCTAAGATTTAATATATCCTTGCACTATATATATTGATACCATAAGCTAAAGTTAAAAAAATGAAAATCAAATTCTTAACATAATTTGTGACATACATAGTGCTATATATATACTACTCTTACCATTTTTACAACAAGGATTATTTTTTTTAAAAATATTTGTGTATTTAATTAGGTTTGAAAAGCTTGCTAGAAAAGATATGAATTTTTTTTCTAAGCCAGTTGATTATTGAAAAGAAAAATAAATACCGCGTAAGAGGGAATGGATTAATAGTGTGTAAAAAGTAAATCTATTTACGAATTAGATACATAGTTGTAAGATATTCATTTGGTTAAAAGAAGAAATGATATAAATTAGTTAGTGAAATATATATAAATATCCATATATGTGTATTTTAAATTATCTATTTTGCTAATAATAGACTCTTTCATAATTAATTCATTTTACAAAGTAGTAACTTAAATAGATTTTTTTTATAATTAAATATAATGTTAATAATTATAGAGTAGTTATTGAAAATTACCGTGCATGGCAGGAACCTAACCTAGAGCAAAAAATTTTAAGTAGTAGATTATTTGCTGTCAATTTCCTTTATATCACGGTCTAATATGCATATTTGGCAATTATAACTCAATATGGAGTATCTAATGTTATACTTTACAAAAATACTCGTTTTAAAATATTATAATACTGTACTTCTTTTGATTTTTTAGATGCATCACTTTTTATATTTGAAAATTTTAATTCAATTTAGGTGCATCACTTTCTTTTTTGGTTAATAATTTCTCTATCTCCCTCATATTATATGGGTCCTTTTTTTTTTTCCTTTTTCTCTAACTTTTTCATCTCCAAAAGTTACCTAAGAGTCCATAAATTTAAAAATAATACATCTAATAAAACACAGAGTTATGTATATATATTCATCACGTGGAACTTAAGTAGATCTACCTGATAATAATCCTTTGTTTAAATAACGAAAAATACATCCAAGTTTCATAAAGTTTGACCATTGAAAAGGAAATGACTCAACTAAAAAAAAAATAACATAATTCATGGTCCTTGTTTTGCACTAGAAACCTTCCCCACCGAAAAGAAGGGATTAAGGACAATTGTTGGCTTTTTTATTTTTTAAATTTTCTCCATTTGCTAAGTTCATTTTAACTTACATTGACTTATATCATAGAAAATGAAATTTTCAGATTATTCTACATGAAGTATTAAATAGATTGTTATATGCACTCGGGTGCATCGTACACCCAACCAACCCAAGGTTAATTTTGCTATTTATTTGATGATTAAATGGAAAACATCATCAAAATGAGAACAAAATACTTATGGGTGTACGGTGCACCCGGATATATATAACAAATTTCAATAATTTCAATAAGTTGATGCAAAAAAAATTATTCAAATATCTTGAAATAGTAGCTTTTTCTTAAAAAAAAAAAAAAAAAAAAAAAAACATAAGTTTAGATTTTAAATTACCTAGAATGCTTATCTTTCCGTTCCCTCATACTATAGTTTTTACTACTATCAATTTATATTAAAAGTCATATGTACTCTGTATATCAAAAAATTAACGAAAGAAATAGAAAAAATGATGAATTTATGAGGAAAAAAATGGAAAAGCTTATAATGCGTAGAACGGTAGAAGCAATTTACCTCGAAGATGGCATTATCTTCTCAAGCATAGTTATTACTCCATATTTTTTAATAGACAAAGCATTTACTCCGTATATTTTTTTTTTTTTTAAAAAAAAATTAAGGTCTAATTGGATTAGATCAACCCACAAGATCAAATCTCTCAAAATGACTTGTTTCAAAAAAAAAAAAAAAGAAAAAAGAAAAAAAAAACACCTCAGAATGACTTAAAGTTACAGCCTTACAGGGTTCCCAACTCTAAATTCTCTTATTTCATATCTTACCCACTAAATAGAGCCATTATAAAAAGCAGAGTATTAGAGTAATAGAGACAATTATTCAAGGTAAAAACAACTTAAACCTATAAAAAAGTTTATGATGCTATTATTTCTATTTAGGCGGGAAATTTTTTTTATAAAAAAGTAACACGTGTACAGTTTGAGGGTAACGAGGATGTCAGAGTTTGTTATTTTAGTATTAGTTATCCGTATATAAATGTGTAACACTAACACTACACTTCAGAGTCGTAGTTGCTTTGACTCTTTGAATTTCATTGACCTCTAATTCTGGGCTTACGAAATAAGTATGTAATTTTGAAGCTTACTTGGCCAATTCGAAGTGATACAAGCCCAACTCAACATCTGTTTATTACACGGCTCATTACTCAGGCCCATAAAACTATTTTTAGATCCAAAATAAGTACACTTCTGTATACAGTGATTGTTTTCAACTCTATAAAGGTGGTACAATAATTGGTAACAAAAACTTAAGAATGTTGGAAAAAGAGTACTAGAAGGTACGTACAGGTTATTGACAATAACCAGCATATACATTATTACATGCCAAATAACTACCGGTTGTGTGTTACTTATATATATTTTTCTACGAGTTTCAATTATATAAAGAAGTGTGGTAGTGAATCCGATGTTATTTTATAACCTTGACAAGGAAATTATAAGCTTCGTGTAAAGAATTTTAGAGGGGAAATAAAATCATCAATAAGAATTAGAATGGTACGATATGATCAAGTTTGACTGGTTTAGGCACTATGAAGTATGAAGTCCATAGTACTACGGAGTACAATGTAGGTACCAAGAAAAATTAAATTCCTTGTTATATTTACCTTAATTAGAAAAGTAAACATGATCTCTCTCACACACACAACACACACACAAAAAAAAAAAAAAAAAAAAAAAAAAAAACATCAGGCGAGCCCCAGTTAATCTCTGGGATAAACAAAATTTGTTTATCACATGGCATTTTGGTAAATAAATGAACAACTTTATTTAGTCATCATTAATGTAGGACCCACTTTTATGGAAAAAGTTGTTGATTTATTTACAAAATTGCCATGTGATAAACAAATTTTGTGAATCTCAGAGATTAACTTGTATTTACCCTCTTAAATGATTATTTTTATCTCAATTTTTAAAACAAGAATACACAAATTGGTGGTTTTGTAACTTTTGTTTGTATGCCTAGTTAAACTCTCATGAATAAGGAGTATCAAAGTTTGTACACTAAATTTCTCCTAGAATCTGTAAATACTTTACTATCTAATCAGGCTTTAGAGATTTCCTGCAGAATATTTTAGACAGGATTGATATCAGATACTTCAGAGTGACCTCAGTAATATAGCATACATTGCTTAGTCGTTTGCTGATACTGTCACCTTGAACCTCGGATACAGTTACGTGACTTACACCAGTATCATACATTGATGTTCCGATATCCCCTTGGTTAAGAGCCTCACTTAGTGTGTCATTTGACTTCCAACCTTTCGTGTTTGCTTCGTTTACCAGCAACTCGCCATAGTGTCCTTTGCATATGCTTTACTTTCTGAAGGCAGTCAATGCTCCACATTACAGTATCATAAATTGATGAATTTTAAATTCATTTTACTTAAACCCATGAATATTTTTGACTTGATAAGCTGTCTAGATAACTAGATTAGTCTAACAGCTGCTACACTAGTTCTTTTTTAATACAGATATTCTGCGATTAGGATTATTTTCTGTAAACAAAACCAAATTGCCTATTGTTGATGTTTACACATTACACCGTCTGATTTTTAATTGGCAACTTACCTACCAAAAGATTTGTTAATTTCAGGTTGTTGTGGAAGGTAAGCTGCTTAGATACCTTTTCTCATATCCCTGAAGTTGTTCAGCATATCAGAATTCAGAAAATCATCATCTGCCGGCGAATTGAATACTTTCGCCTTTAGGTGCCAGCGAGTTACCGGATTGAAAAAAAAGAGGATCCTAATGCTGTGAGAAAACATCAGCAGGCTGGTCGTGAAAAGCAACGCAGGTGTCTGCTGGATGAGCAGTTCATTGAGTTGGGAACCACAGTTGGTAATTCTATGTACACCTTTTATTTAGTTTCTCGTTTTGCCTCTCTATTTATCTGCTGAACTTGTAATAAGCTCATGACACTCATTCCTAAACTTTTATTTATTGTAAAGAAAAAATTCTAAAACTAGACCATATTGAAATTTGAGTGCTGCTAGCTTTATTGGGTAGCATTTTTTCAAGTTTTGTTTTTAGAGTAGAAGAGCTCATTAATCTTTGTTCATGAATCTATATAGGCCAAGGCTATGTGATCTGAGTGGTGAAGATATTTCCTGTTGTTCCATAGCATCCAACAGGGGACATTGCGTCAATATTTACTTTGTATGATTGGCCTTTATTCTTTTTACCTTAAAAATTAACATATATTCGGAGAGATAAATTAAAATCATTTATGTTAAATTAAAATTAATTAATATACATTAGTTGAGATAGGTTCAAATATGTCAAATTCGGATGAAGAGAACAACACACCCTTTTGTTAGTCTGTTCGCTTTCTTTGTAAGGAGAGAGCAGCTAATTATTTATTGAGGCTAGTCACTAGTGATCCTTGATTTGTTAAAACTGTAACTTATTAGATGTGTTAGGGAAGTCCGTTAATAATACTAGAAAGACAGAATTGTGAAATGGGGCAGAAGAAGGCAAATGGGACTCTTGTTTAAATAATTAGATGTCATATTAGCATAGTTTTGATATATGTTCATGACACGCTGATTACTTGATTGTTGAATTAGGAGGATGTGTAAATAGATTAGTGTTGAAGCCTCGAGTAATTGATTTTGAGAGTTGAAGTGAAATGACTGATAGCCTAGGTACATCTAGAGTATAGAGCAGGGGTGATATGTTCTCGTAATTAGTGATATATATTTCACGCTCATTTTTGCTATGAGAATGCCTTAAATGGCTTCAACTTTCCCCATTTTAGAAGTGTCATTGTTGTTTAACAATTGAGATTTATCGTAGAATTTGTAACAATTACAAGCATTTATAGCTACAAACAAGCATAAAATAGAGGAAGCACATATTAGAGTCATAATTAACACTTTTTAGATGGAATTTGTCTCCGGGTAGCAAAACCAATAAATGAGAAAAGTAAAGGTGGCTGAATATAATAATTAAAAAAAATGCAATTAATTACTGTATTGGCGTATAAATTGAACCTGAATTGCTTAAACTATACGAAGCATATATTTTTGTAATTATAGTCTCAAATTAAATGCAAAATTTTGTTGAATTCGTCTCAATGTATACTTTCAAAATACCAACTTTTTATAGTTGTTACTTATTTGTAAGTAAATTTATTAATGATTGAAGTTATGCACCGAAAAGAGTGAATGTGGCTGATCCATTTGCACAGGCTGGCACAACATCAGTGTCAGACAAGCCACAGGATTTGAATGTGGCAGACCCATTTGCACATGCTACCATGTCATCAATATTAAACAAACCACCACAGGAGTTGAATGCGGCTGATCCAATTGCTCATGCTACCATGTCGTCTGTGTCAAACAAGCTGCAGGAGTTGAATGTGGCTGACCCAGTTGCACAGATTGCTATATCACTCTGTGAGGCATTGGCAGCTGCGAAGGAACTAATGGCGAATTTGAAACTATCAGGGTCGGAGAGCGATTTAGCAGCATCAGAATTCACAAAGCAGGTGATTTTTTTTGTGAAGCGAGCCCAGAACCTGCTTCCAGTAAAGATGGAAATGATGTTTCATAAGGTGTTGCTTCCAATGGATGTTGCTCCACGTGATAACGGAAAATTGAAATTCTTAGCTGTTCCAAAGGTGTTTGCCGAGAAATATTTCCCCAAGCTTCTTTCTTCTGTCACAAGTCTACTGCTGAAGTTTGAAGATCTTACTGGGAAGTTGTGGACGTTTCAGTACTCCTACAGCAACACTTACCAGTGCTACGCCCTCGCTGAAGGGTGGAGCCTCTTTGTTGAGAAGAAACAGCTCTCTGTGGGTGATACTGTCTTCTTTTACCGTGGAGTTGGAGGGGAAGCCAAGTACAAATTCTTCATTCACTGGAATCGTAGGGTTGATGCGGCTAAGCAATCCCTTGGTAATGCTCTCCACCTGGACCAGACCCTTGTTCAGCCTGCCTTTCCCTCTGATATGATTGCTGATGATGCCTCTGCTCCTTTCACTAAGTACAGTAAGGGGACTCCCTTTAGTTTAGTGCCGCCTCCTAGTCAAAATCTTAATATCCCTCGTAACCCTTCATTTGATGTCATGGTTGTTGATGATGCCCCGCCTCTTTTTACACCTACTATTCAGAGTCGTTGTTCCCCTCTTAACGATTCATGTGATGAGATGGTTGTTGATTGTGCTCTTGCTCCCTTTTGTCCATCTCTTAGTCTCAGTCCTGGCCCCTCTCTTGAAAAGTCCTTTGTTGGGATGACAGCCGATGATGCCTTGTGCTATTGTGCTTTGTTTCCGCATAATTATGAATTTGAGAAAGATATGGTTGTTCAGCTATGGATAGCACATGGTGTTTTTGTGAAGGAGCCAATGGAGAGAATTGCTGGTCTGTTTTTTGAGGATTGCCTTTCCAGGGGTTACTTCTTGTTTTGTCGGACCAATTTGGTGACTGGGAAAGCAATGTACAAATTCAAGAGAGATGGCAGTGTAGTGCCGCTATTGATTTCTAGTTGCAGCCGTATTGTTCTGATAGAGGGAAATTCGAACTTAGATGATGTCTCTGAAGATGTATCTCATGTGTCTATCAGGTGTTACAGACAGAAAAATTATACTATTATACAAGAACTTAAAAGGTTCAAGCACCTGAGAACGCTAATGTTTCTCCATGGTCGTGAATTGAGCTTCAAGCAAGTCCCACGCGATATCTTTTTATCATTGAGGTTGCTACAGGTTTTGGATTTGAGTCAGACTCATCTCTTGGAGCTGCCAAGTTCTATAGGGAATATGAAATGTCTACGTTATTTAGACCTTTCAGAGACTCTCATCAAACGTTTGCCTGAAGCAATTGATTGCCTTGAGAAGTTACAGACTTTGAAACTTCGAGGTTGCTTGAATCTCTCTTTTTTGCCAAAAGGTATGAGAAAGCTGGTCAATCTGCGTCATCTTGATCTTGATGTCTGTCGACAATTACGCTCAATGCCCCCAGGGTTAGGGACGTTGATCCACATTCAAACATTGTCAGCTTTCCTTGTTGATCTGGAAGAAGAATGCAGCATACGGCAGTTACAGAACATGAATAATCTCTCAGGGAGCTTTTGCATCTCTAGGCTTGAGAATGTGTTGACAAAGGATGAGGCCATGGAGGCTTGCTTGTACAACAAATCGCATCTTACAAAGCTTGAGTTACAGTGGAGTGACGCACAAGATGAAGATGTTTCAGTTAATGGGGAAATCCTCTCTTCTCTTAAGCCAAATACAAGCCTTGAAGAGCTGCAAATTAGTTGTTTTGATGGATTTCATCTACCCAGTTGGATTTGTGATTCGGCTTTCTCTAAGCTGGTCGGTATCACCCTCTTCAAGTGTGAAAACTGTTTGGTCCTACCATCCCTTGGACAACTTCCATCACTCAAATTTCTGAACATAGTGGATTTTTACAAACTGAAGGTGATTGATCATAATTTTTATGGAGGGCTTGGCATCCAAGGGTTCATTGCCTTCGGTAAGCTGGAGAAGTTAGCTATGGAAAACATGCTTAGCCTAGAAAAATGGACTGGAATGGAAAAATATGTTTTTCCTTGTCTTCTTACACTCACAATTAAGAATTGCCCCAAACTCTCCAGTTTACATACACTTTCAAATCTCTGTTTTCTCAAAAATTTGGAGATAAGTCACTGTGATATGCTTGCATCTTGGACTGATGGCAGATTGCCTGCTTCAGTTGAGACACTCATTATTGAGGATTGTCCCATGATCTCTGTGGAGTCCTTGAAAAATGGAGGTCAAGACTGGCATAAGGTGGCACACATTCAGAATTTGAGGGTTGATAATCAAGAGATACCTTCTGGTAAATCTTTCCACACTACTTTTCTTAACCTTTTTTTTTTTTTTTTTCCAGGATAAGGACTTAGTTTTGTTTTCTTGTTTTATGATATTGATGGCTGTTATACTAGTTCTAGAATATGTAATAGACAAGATCACCGGAGTCTTAGGGTTTTTCTGAATTTGATGCAACAAGTTACCCCTTGATATTATGGAAGATTTACCTAGATGTCCACCAGCTATTTTTATATAAAAATCATGTGTAGAAAAGCTGCTTTTGCCCTGGCTTTGAAAGTGTAGTATCCTAACTTCCTTCATGAAAAGATAGTTCCTTCTTGGATAATTGGTATTTGACCATCTCAATTCTAGTTTAAACAAGTGCTCTATTATGTTTAACACGTCAAGGTCTTTGAAATAATCAGATAGTAGATTGTAGAACTTAGGAATTGCGTTTTGCTTCAACAGTTCAACTAGTGACATAAGTACCATGCTAGGACGTGTTTTGGGCTGTCCCATCCCAATGAGCGAAATACTATTAGCACTAATTGCAGGGCCTACATTTCCATGCCGATTTTTCATAGTAATAACCGTATATAGTATAATAAATGAATGAAATGCTACTAATATTATGTTAATGTATTAGGATTGAATAATGTTGATTGGATGGATATCATTAACCAAAGGTGGCAGTATCCTGGATCATTTTAATATAGAAAGTGGATAACAAAGATGAGATGAAAGCAGTTTATTGTTACTTCTCTCTCTTTTCCACTATGCTCTGATTTTATGTTATTAATTGAGGATTTTTCCTCCAAAATTTGCATGGATTTACTAAATTTGGATGACATTTACAGTACAGTGTTTGAAAGATACATTTAATTTTCCAGGGGCAGCAGAGTAGCTTCGTTCAAATGTCCGGCACCAATTTGATTTCTGCTTATCTTTGGCCCCAAGCCTTGATTTTGGGTAACATTCTGCTTTTAAATCGATATTTTGAAGCCGTAATGTTATTCTGCCAATTACTGTGAGGATTCTCAACTCTCATGTTTCATAAGCTACCTTGACTTTGGTCTTTTGATACACATATTATATATTTGTAATAGTTTATATATGAACTATAACTTACAATGTATCAAATTTAACCGTTGAGGATTACCCATAGGACCCAACTCCCCCTTTCTTATTGCTAATTATAACACTGCAATATTTTATTATTTTATATTTTATATTTTGTTTGCATTTAGTTAGCTCTTTTAGAAGATGTCCACCTTACTATCCTACTGAGTACTGACATTGTCATTCTTGTTTAGTAGTCCACCTGGTATTAGCAGCTGTGATCTTTGAAGTATTCTAGGTGACTGTAAATCTGTAATGGGTAAGCTGAGATTACCATATCTACAAATCCAGAAGATATAAAATTTCTTTGGCAACTATTTGCATCGCCAATCTACAGGGTCTTTTGGAGTTTAGGTTAAGGTAGTCTTTGTTATGCTTTATTTAGTTTTCTCTTATTTTTATACATTAGAGGAATCATACCCTTGTGATTTCATCGTCTATACTTAAACTTGTGAAAATAAATTAGGCCAATTATGATCTGTTCATGAGATATGAGAACAAAAAAATATCGTGAAACTTTCAGTACGTTATAGATCGAGTTGGTATCATGAAAGTTTATGAATTTGGGTTGCACACCTGTGGTTTGATGAAATAAGATACGAGGTTTGGTTGAAAATGGGGTTACTCACCACGAACTTATGAAATGCTCAAATCATTTGTGCATGGGAAGTGCTGTGTTTGAGCCTACTTTATCAGCAGCCTCAAGCAGATATTGTAATTAGGACTTAGGAGCATGCTTAAACAGCAAGGCCATAAGTGTGAAATATTTTCAAGTACTGGACATGCACCTGTTTTCAATGTCCTATTTTAACTATATTGCCCCCATGAGAAACAAATTTCGTTAATCACGAGGAGAAACAGAGATTTTCCCGTTTCCAATGGTGAAAGGCAAAGCCTAACATTAATTTTTCTAGACTTCCTCTCTTTATTTTGGTTGTTCTGTGAGCCTGTGAAATACATATTTTAATTGCTGATGAGTTTGCGGACGGGTTTCTGAAATTTAAGCTTCAGTAAATTCACCTATTGCAATTTTTAGGAAATTTTCACTTTTGCTACCAGTAAAACACACATATTTCACTTTTTCTACCGGGGAAAATTTTAATTTAATTTTACTACCATACAAAAACAAGTTTGTTAGAAATTGCTACCACTTAATGGAATCCGTTAGGGTTCCGTTAAGTTTATTCAAAAATTTTAAAAAAAAAATTTAAATTTTTTTTAAAAAAAGAAAAACCCAACCACCACCTTCAACAGCCAGCCACCCTCCCCCTTACCCTGCGGGCGCCCAAAGCGTCGCCCGGCGCCGGCGACTCCACTCCCCCTCCCTTTCCTCTACCTACGTAGCCTTTCTCCATCCCTTATCCCCTTCTCGCTGCCCAACCCCCATCCCGAACCGGAAACCACCCCCCTCCCCATTCGCGCCACCGGAATTGGCCCCCCTCCCCATTCCCTCACCGGAATCGACCCCCCTCCCCTTCCCCTACCCTTTTCGGCCACCCCTAATCACCACCCCGAACCCACCATAGGCGAAACCCTAAAACCCGTTTAGTGTGGTTTCGGGCTGGTGATTTAGAGTTAAAGGTGCCGGTTTTTGGTGCTGGGAGTGGCGCGACTTGTTTGGAGGGTGGAGCAGCAGCAGTAGCGGCACATTTTGGACTTTTTGTGGTGTTGCGAGATGTTGAAGGTGAGTAATGGTGGTGCGGTGGGAAGAGCTATCGTGGGTAATTGAGAGGAGTAAGGAATGGTACGGTGGCTGTAAGGTTGGGTTAGGGTCACGACGGTGGAGGAAAGGGAGGGGGAGTGGGGTCGTCGGCACCGGGCGACGCTTTGGGTGCCGGTCGCTGGCAGGGGGGAGGGGTGATGGTGGCTGGGTGTTTTTATTTTTTATTTTTAATTTTTTTTTATGGTGGGTCGAGGTGGCTGACGGGGAGCAGTGAGGGTTTCTGAGGAGGGAGGGGTGGTAGTGAGGGTTGTTAGATCTCACTAACGGAAATATTAACTAAAAATGTTTAAGTGGTAGCAATTTTTAACAAACTTGTTTTTGTATGTTAGTAAAATAAAAATAAAATTTTCTCCGCTAGCAAAAGTGAAATATATGTGTTTTGCTGGTAACAAAAGTGAAAATTTCCTTTTTATGGTCAAATTCAAGGTTGTAGGCTTTTAGCTTCAGGGGTTCTCCAAATTCTTTTCGTAGCAAATAGTTTTTTTTTTTTTTTTTTTTTTTTTTTTTTTTTTTTTTTTTTTTATCCATACAAGGACATGAAGGTAACATCTTTTATCAATTCTGTTGGTTATTGCTCAAATTGAGAAAGATATTCTGTGTTTTGAATTTTCCATCCGTCTTTTAACTGATAAATCTATTCTATGTTCCACAAATATTGTAATAAGAATGAAATTATGCATCCTAAAACATATTTTATATGTTAAATATCTATAATTATGTAAGAGTAAAAATTATATAAAGTAGATATTGTGAAAGTATTTTTACGAGACGAATCTAACAAGACCCTACATGACTATATTTTATTTTGCTTATAAATTATAATTTGTGGTCAAACAAGCTTGATGAATAGTGCAAAAGTCCAATTGTTGCAATATTACTAGAACGGAGGAAGTATATATTTTGGTGCTGCAAAAGATTTTTAAAGAGTTTTAAATGCATATGTCAATAGTTAAGATAACATCATGAAAGCATCATTACTGCATTCTCCTCTGAATGTCGCAGCCAACTATGAGATAAAAGGCTTTCAGTCTTGTTATTTCTCATTTAGCATACTTGAAATGAGGCCCTATGCACTAAATATTCTAACAGAAATCCCCCTAAATGTGGTTCAATCCTATGCTCCTAAATGGGTTCAATTGAGAAATGCTGCTATTTGGATATTTACTTGGTGTTGTTTTGATTAGGACCATGTTGATGAAGTTCTTACTTCTAACAGAAGTGCCACCAAATATCAAGCTTCCTGTCTTTCACTTGACTCTGTCTGAAAGTGTGCGCATGTGCCTTGTTAGTTGCTAAAGCTGCTATATATATTATACGTGGGTTTTGTTACTGATCACCAATTTCTTGTGTTTTTAAAGATAAGAAATTAAGAAGGGTGTAGGGTGTTGGGTAGAAAACAGGAATATACTTCATCGCAATTAGTTATATATTATTATTTCTGCCTTGGATGTTCTATGGTTATTGTAGAATAAAGATGATTGAGATTTGGGATCTTAGACTGACTACCTACTTTTGGAATCATCAAATAGACTTAAAAAGAAGTCAACGTTTATCAACTTGGGTTCTCACCTAAGATGTTGAATGCTCATTTCTCCAGCATTAGCATTTGTTATGCTTTTTCTGTGTGGATAAAAGGTGCTTGAATTAACTTTATAAATATAAGAAACTGGTATTGTATAGATACATAGATCTGTTGCTAATTTTAACATATCTATTGGGGTTGCTAATTGAGCGAGCCGAGAGTGACCTTGTCTAATCGTTGCAAATAATATGAGACGGAGGTAGTACATGCGTTCTAATTTTGTAAGTTTCCCACTAATATTGTTTAATTGTTATATGAGTAGTAAATTGTTTTTAAAAAATTTCAATCTTGTTCACGAGCTCTCGAGTTGAGCTTTGTTGTGTTTGGCACGCTTATAAAATTCTCGAACCAAGCTTGAATAGTTCATGAACTAGATAGACTCATTAATACCCCTAATCAGTAAATGACAAACTATGTAAAGCTAATGGCTTTTAAATAAATTGTGTTCGAGCCAGATATTTCTTTATTCATCAGTGTCCAACTTGCTTTCTGTACCTTCAATAAATCAACATAATATACCCCACAGCCACGTTGACCTTTGACTTCTAGTTTCTTGTCTGTAGGTCATCTCCAGCTAATAATTCTGAGTAAAAAGGTTGTATTGTGTACGATATGGTGAGCTTTCATCCCTGAACAAGAACACCAAGATAAGTATCTATCTTTTGCTTATACAGTTGTTGTTACTCTTTTATCTACAAATCTAAAGACATTAATGGAGGTGTTTCAATCAGACTTTGCTTTGGCTTTGCTTCAAGATTTGCTAGAAAGATTTAAATTTTTAATCTTTGAGGAAGCAGGTCAGGTGGTACAGTTTGATGCAGAAGATGAACTTAAAAAGCTGAAGAGGAAACTCTTGAAAGCAGAAACCTTGTTTGACAGCTTTCAGCTCACTCCAAACAATACCTGGCATCATTGGGTTGGAGAAGTCACTGGAGTTTGCTATGATGCTGAAGACTTGGTTGATGATATAGTACTTGGTGCTAGTAAAATTTCAGTGATTGAGAAGATCTTTTCATTTTTCGAAAGGCGGAAGATGGCTCAACAGATCCAGGATCTTCAAGAAAGGTTGGAGGATATAATAAGTGGATTAGACATGGTCAACAGAACAAACAAGCAAGCACTGCAGTGCTCACTAGGATGTTTCAAAGAGACTGCTTATACAAGGGAGCAACTACGGTTTCCAGTGAGATTATTTGGGAGGGAAAGCGACAAGGAGAAGATAGTCTCCATGCTGCTGGAAGAAACACTGATTACAATTTCTATAGTTGGCATGGATGGCCTTGGCAAAACAACACTTGCTCAGAGTATCCAAGATGATTCCAGAATCCAAGACAAGTTTCATCGTATAGTTTGGATTTCAGTGTCTGCAGAGTTTGACATGACAAAGATCACAGACTTTATATTGAATCGGAGGCAAGAAGGGGAGTATAGCTTTCATCCTGAGAGAATCCAAAGTTCATTTGGTGATCTTTACTTGGGGAAAAGTATTTTGTTTGTGTTGGATGATTTACGGGAAGTTAAGGGTAATGATTGGTGTTCTTTTTGTCATTATTTTCTGTGCTCATCTGGTTCCAAAGCTCTTCTAACTACTAGCAACCCAAATGTAACATCAATTACTAATGCTACTCCTTATCATTTGCAAATGATGAAGGATGAAGATTGTCAGGCTCTAATCATGGATAGAGCGCTGTCTTTTAATAATATATCTGAACGAAAGCTTGTAATTTTGGAGGATATTGCTGGAGCAATGGCCCAAAAGTGCAAGGGCTTGCCTCTGGCAGCCAATATTTTGGGACTTCTCTTATCGTCTAAGCATGATGATGAGGATTGGGTGACCTTATCAGAGAGAGACATATGTGAGCTAAGTGTTTTTAAAGAAGAAATATTTCCTGCTTTTAGACTGAACAATCCTTACTTGGCATCACATTTGAAGAAGTGTCTTGCTTACTGCTCATTATTCCCTCGTGATTACGATTTCGAGAAAGACAACTTGGTTCAGCTGTGGATGGCAGAAGGTTTTCTTCTGCCTCAAGGGATGACAAACCTTGAACAAATTGGCTGTGAATATTTTGATGAGCTGTTAAGGAGATCTGTGTTTCAACTTTCGCATCTTGGTGGTCAAGAGATGCCAAGCTACAAAATCCATGAATTTATTCACAGGTTTGCTGAGTTTGTGGCTTCAGACACATGTTTCCGGTTGCCGAATGGTGAGTGGTCTTGCTCTGCCCCTTTATACAAAAAAGTTCGTCATCTGTCGTTGCTTTGTGATTGCATCAAACTACGGTTCCTCAAAGAAATTGAGAAATGTGATGGTCTGAGGACATTTCTTCTGCTAAGTGAACACGGAACACAAATTGGCCAAGTCCCTTATTCCTTTTTTCAGAAATTGGTGCGGTTGAGAGTTCTAGACCTGAGTCATACTAATATTGATGAGCTTCCTGAGTCACTGGGTAGATTAAAGCATCTACGGTACTTGGATGCATCTCAGACACATATCCTAAGGTTGCCTAACTCAGCTTCCGACCTTCATGGGCTACAAGTACTCAAGTTGAGAGGCTGTTCTAGACTTTTAGAGTTGCCAAAACAGATTAAAAACTTGACCAACCTTATACATCTTGATGTGGACATAAAGGTATTGAGGTGCATGCCTGCGAGCATCGGGAGTTTAAGCTGCCTCAAAACACTTCCTGCCTTTATGGTTGGTAAGAAGGAAGGATATCGCATAACTGAGTTGAAGAATTTGAAGCATCTAGGTGGTACAATATGCCTTGGTAAACTTGAATATGTTAGGGATGGGGCAGAGGCCAGGGAAGTCATGATATGTGATAAGCCATTTATTAAGAGGATGGAATTAGAATGGAGCCGTTGTTCTAGAGATGGATCTGTGGCAATGGATATCCTTTCTGGCCTGCAACCGCACAAAAATTTGAAGGAACTGTTATTAATTAACTATGGGGGTTCCAGATTTCCTGTTTGGCTTACAAGCCCATCCTGCTTGCTTGTAAGTATTCATGTACAATTTTGCAAGCAAGATGATGTCTTGCCATCACTTGGGCAACTTCTCTTCCTCAAGACTCTTTATATCGAAGGCATGGATCGAGTAAAGTGTGTGGACAACCATTTTTGTGGAGAAGGTAGAAATGGAGCCTTCCCTTCTTTAGAATCATTGAAGATCCAAGACATGATGTGCCTTACAAGGTGGTTTAAATTGCCAGACAATAGCATGCCCCAGCTCCGTGAACTTACCATTGAGGATTGTCCTAATCTCCTCTCAATGCAGTCACTAAAACATATGAATTCATTGCAAACTTTTGAGCTCAACCACTGCATGGAGCTGATGTCATTGCCTGAGCTTCCAGTGTCAATTCAGTCACTGATCATTATCGATTGTGACATGGTGAAACAGCGATGTCAATCTGAAGAAGGTCCTGATTGGAGTAGCATAAGAGCAATTCCGTATGTGGAGATTGATTAGGAGACTGTGCTTCCTCAAGCTTCAAGTTAATGTACCTCCACATGGCAGTCTGCTCTTGCTGGTAGGTTCATCCTTTTTTCCTGAAATTGATCTGACAATAAGCTAAGTGATGTTTGTAATTATTTTAATGGTTCTTGTATTGATGGAGCTTTTAATATATTTTGCAAAGTTGCAAACTGTAGTTATTTCGTTCCTATCCTCTCCCCAAAGTCCCAAACCCTAAAGGTTGAATCAAATAGAAACTACACTTGAAAATTGTAAGAACAGTTCAGTAATTAGAAAGTCAAATGTCTCTGATCTGAAGAGCGGCCAGTTTTGAAATTTTCTGAGAATGGTGTGAAAGAATCAAGAGTGTTTTCCATTGAATCTGCTTCATTCAAACCGTGCATTATTTAGGGATGTGGAGCACAGTTACGAGAGATATGTTTTGGGTTTGTCGGATTGAAAGCTTAAGTAGGATACTAATATACTACAGCCATCTTTTATAACAGGTTATTGTCTTAAATTTCATCATATGCTAATTTATTGTGTTGGGACAATGTGACTATTATTTCCGGATGGTGAGAATAAATATACAGTACTAGTGTAATGCTGTATAATTTTTTGTTGTATAAAGTTGGACTAGTAGAATTCTGAACTTGATCTGCTGAACTTTACTTCAGTGAGTGCATTTGGAAGTTTACTGTTATTATTGTAAAATCTATATTAAATATCTGTATCTAACTTGTATATACTTATACTCCGTATATTCTATACTTTTTTTTTTTTGAAACCCCGTATATTCTATACTTAGTTATACTATAAAAATGCTTTCTAAAGGAAGTTTAATTGTCATGTGGCATCCTCCATCATTCATTGCTTCTCATTCTGTAACTTACAATAAATAAATAAAATTGTAAATGTTTCACCCAAAGAAATTGTGAATGTTGTCGACACAAGTTTAGGATAAATAGTTAAGTTTAAACACAACATGACTTACCACTCAAATATGTCATATTTCATTTTGTTTTTCTTTTTATTTAGCAAACAAAATACAAGTATTAAAACATATTAAATGAGAATCTGAGATATTTAGAGAAGTCATGATTTAAATGTATAATTGCAAATTTTATGTAAAAGCCTAACAAAAACCTAGGGTATAGCCTTATATCAATGCGGAATTATGATAATAGATTAATAGTTAACAATAAACTATAATGTAATGATAACCAAGCAAGGTGGTGTAAGTGGTAATTAGGATTAATCTTGTACCCTTGGGGAATATTTCATTAAATTTGTTATTTAATAAAATTAGTCTTTTAAAACTCTTTTTAAGGGACGCAAACCTCTATTATATTAGCCAAGGGAAAGGGTTGTGATGTCCCCCCTAAAATATGTAATTTGCCCTTAATTTAAATTTGTTTTACAATAATTAACAAACATAAAAACTAGCCATAGTTGGACTCAATTAAAAGGTTGATTTGACTCTTTTTTTCTTTTCTTTTTTTTTTTTTTACATGAAAAGGTTGATTTGTCAACTATACTTAATTGTGGAACTAATAATAATAAAAGACATAATTATGCATAACTATAAAAATCCTTCAAAAAAAAAAGTTTCGCTTCCTATTGTATTCCCTTTTCTTCAATGCTCTTGCAGATATTAACATATAGATTAGTTAGCATAATTATTAACGAGTATTTCATTAGTTAATTAGCATATATATCTCAAATTTTAACATAAATTTAAATCTTTTGTAAATTTATTATTGCAAATTCCAAAATCTCAATTTGATATTGTATTAATGTCAGTCAAATTAATACAAAGTATGAACTTTCTTCCTGTCCAATAAAATATTACCGAGTAAATTTCTAAATTTTAACAATTTTTTTTGAACAAAATCATGCAATTCATTAATTAAAAGTCATTCGTCGTCTACAAATGAAATCTAAATTAACAAATATATAAATTAGAATCAAATAAAGGTTTCCCTCATCAAAGCTACAATCGTTGAAAAGATTTTGCACTGTGGTACATCCCTCGACACATCACTAAAAAATGCAGTCTTTTTGGAGAGATGGTCTAACGATTTGTTGTAGCCATAAGGAGGATAATTATATGATTCGCTTGAATGCTTTTGAGAATTCAACAATCGTTGCGATCCTGGACAAATGTTTACCAACGAACTGATAATAGGGCAAAGGATGATTACTTTTTTTTTATAAGCCTTGACATGCAAATAAACCCTAATGAAAAATAAACAATAAACTAACAAAAACTAACGACTCCACCATAGGGAGATGGACGAATATCTACGTTACATTGCTCGTGCAGATTATTTAAACCTAAAAAGCAATGCTATAAAAACAAGATTAAAGGGTCGGAAATAGTCTAATTTCCGGAAAAAAAAATAGACTATTTTCGACCTAAATAGCCAAAATATTATTTCTAAATTTTAATATAGGGCTAGTACCACTTTATCAGTTAGGGGTGTTCGCGGTGCGATTTGGTGCGGTTTGAATCCTAAACCGCATCAAACCGCAAATTTACGGTTTTTTATTTTTTTCAAACCGCACTTCTAACCAGACCGCATTTTTTAAAAATTATAATTATTTTTTGTAAAACAAAACCTTTATTTTATTTTGAGATTGTTAATTTATAATTCAAATATTAAACTCTTATTTTAACCTTTAACTAGGTTAAAATCCCGTGCAATGCACGATTGTTAAATTTTTTTGACAATAATATTACAAAATATAAAGTATATAAAAGATATTCAAAAAATTTCATTTGGGTATATATGGAATATGATTGTCAAATTGGAAAGAAAATACATAAGGTATAAATAATTTACTTAAAGATTTTGCACAAAAAAAAAAAAAAAAAAAGGCGGGAAAATTTTCACAAGGTAATGACAAGTGTCATGGAAGAATTTGTTTTTAGTATTAGTTAATAAATTAGCTAATAGTCAAAGATTAGCTCGTATATTTTTACTTCTTTTATATTTTTTTAATAAAAATATAGTATAAAAATCGCAAAATACATTAAAGTGCAGTTTGGTCTAAATTTTTTTAGAAATTGCACCAAACTGCATTGCAATTTTCAAATCGCACTCTAAATAGCCCTAATACCAGCATTAAAAAACAAAGGGAGTATTCTGTCTCTTCTCTTTTTTTTTTTTCCTTTTTTTACAAATCTTCTTATAACTTTTTTTCAATTTTTTTTTGACAGATTCTTCTTATAACTTTACAATATACTCATACTTCATTCGTAGTTTGGTGATTTGGCGCCAAAGTCTGAGTCTCCCCGCCACTTGCACTGCCATGGCATCCTTCCCCTTCCGTCCTCCGCAATTCTCCGACGTACTCTTTCTCTCTCTTCTTTCTACCTTTTCTTCCTTTTTTTTAATCATTATTATCACCATTTCTCAATAATTTTTTCAACGAATTTTGCTGCAATTTTATTATTTTGTATAAACCCTAAATTCTGTAAATCAATTTTATTACCCCCATTTTTTTTTTTAACAGGATGTAGCTTGGCTTCCGGCATGGCTTCAACCTAATCATTCAGCGTCAACACCTCAAAACTTGGATGATGAAGAACTCTCCCGCCATTCTCTTCAGGTTTCAATAATTTAATTTTACTCCCTTTTTGGAATTTTAATTTATTTTTTACAATTTTTTCTAGGGTTTCATTTTATTGCAAATTAGTTTTTATTAATGCTGATAATTTTTGTTTATGTGGGGGTAAAGACTGCCTTTTGTTGAGTTTTGATCAATCTTTGGTTTGGTATAGAGAAATATGTTGTTGAATTTGTTGGATTATTTTTGTTATAATTTAATTAATAGTGTGTAGTTGTACTTTGACAGCGATTGGATTGTTGATTTGCGGTATCGAAAGTACGGTTTGGTTGTTGTTAGATTGTATTTGATTTGTCATCTAGTTAGTTCAATTGTAATGTACATAGGTGTTTCTAGGAATTGTAGGATGTAGCTACAGTTTTGTAAATCTGTTAACATCAAATTTGGCATTATGTTCTGTAACTTGACATCAGAAGCCACAATATGATAAACATTCATTATTTAAGATTGACAATCAACACAGTGGGATTATACTATTCTCGTGTCTCTTATCGACTGGCATTTTTTTGGTAGGCTTATGTTGATTGTCATGCTACATTCACGAGTATGGAGTAGAAGATTTTGCCAATTGAAGTCTCTCTGAAGTTCCTGATGCCTTTGAGAAAAAAGCTGTTAATGTTTTAAATTTAGTTAATGACCATTTGTTTTGGTAACACAGGCTTAAATTTACAAGATCTCATGCTATTTTTGTGAAAATTGAACGAGAATATTTAATGTTAGAGTAGTAGTACAGTTTTGCTAGATGTCATATACGCAAATTCTGTTTTCATGTTCAATCTGGTCGTGTGTTGGTTGTAGATGCATGGTGCCTGGATCAGTCGGTTGCATTAAGTCTTGGTACTTGTAGATGATGTTTATGTTGCACTATATAGTTTTAGTCAACAATTATTACAATGAACTATTGTGTTTACTATTAGCATTTCCAGAATGCCTACCTCTTATTGAAGTTTCCTGCTGCAAAATGCAGAATGTGGGAGAGAATAACCAAGTCAAAGATTCCAACCTTTCAACCATTAAAGATAGCAGATACATTTGTCAGTTATATCTGTCTGGAGAAGAAAGCTCGCCAGTTACCCTCACTACATCTTGTGAAAAGGTGCACTTTAATAGCTTTTAAACAATTGGTATTATGTTTTGCAACTTGGGATGCTATAGTACTGAACTACTGACTACTGAGTATTAAAGAATATTTTTTTGAAGATATATCTTCTTCTTCAAAAAAAAAAAAAAAAAAAAAGGAAAAAAAAAAAGAAAGAAAGAAAGAAATGTGATCTCTGTTCCTGCCTATATTTATTCATAGCATTGCCTTATTTTCATTGTTTTCTTTATGACTTATAGGTTAACACTTATTATATGTTCTTTTAGTAGTACCACATAGTACTTTCTGTTTCCAGTTGTAGAATAATGATTTACGTGGTGTAATAATTTCTCTTTACCATTTTGGTTGGCCATATATGCATGACAGAATGAGTTTTATTCTTCTTCTGCTTTCTTCAGGCTTTATGACAGCTTGAAGCCTTGAACTTACCAAACCCTTTTCCTCATTACTGAAACATCAAAATAATTTTATCAGCCTTCTTGTCTAATTTGCAGCTGTTTCGTAGCAAAGCATCAGATGTAGAGGAGATTAACACCAACTGCCTGATCTGTTGTTGTGTACAATTGTATTTATTTTCCCACCTTATATACTGGGTCTTAGTTTTTGTTTTGATTATTTTCTTTCTAGCAGGTTTTGCATTTTAACCTGCATCTTTCAACAGATGGAACTCCATCGATCATTTCCAACCCACTCTTACATACCTCACATGATGACAAGCTTAATTCTGCACTAGCTCTTGTTAACACAAGAGAAATGAGCGAGTGCAATATAGGCCATGTTCCTAAAATAAATATTGTTCCTTCTCCTTCAAGCGATAAATACTTTGGAAATTTTACCAACCAAACTCCATTAAGTAATGCTGCTGGACAGAAACCTTTAGAGATCTTAAACTCCAATTCTGCTGAAGATGATGACATTAGTGATGCTGTGGAGCTATCTGTTGCGGCATCAGAAGCATTAGCCATACTTAATATAGTACAAAGTGGATCTTTTTCAGAAGCTTTGTCCACTTCAGCGATAATTGAAGTTGCTCTTCGAGTGAAGCAAGCACGACTAGTTGAATTAAAAGATTTCTCATATTGTTTTGAGAATTCTGATAGCTCTGCTGACACCCTTTCAGATATAGGTGATTCTGAAATGGAAGATGCTTTTAAAGATGTTGGTTTATTTATCAGTAGTTTGGACAATACCTCTTTTAATGATCTATCTACATCTCGAGTCAAGGAAACTCCCATGTCAGAAGTTCCTGGAGAGGATGAAGAGGTTCAATGTGAATGGCAGAAAGACCAAGAAATATATTTTGACAATTGTGTTGCATTAGAACTTCAGGAGATTAATCCAGATACAAATAAATCGAAGGATCTGCCAGCTGAAATATCTGACAATGAGAAGCTTGAAAAGTTGTGCAGAAACCCACACCTTGAGATCTTTGTAAATCAATCACAGGATGGGAATTTAGATGATCAGCAGACACTACAGGTAATTGATAACAGGACTTTTCTCCCATTCATCTAGTGTTTTTGTTCACCACTATTGGTATGTATGTAATTTAAGAATTGTATGTTATTCTTTTCGTCTTTGAAATTTGTAGAGCAATTTGATTTTTCTGCTGATTTTTTTATAATTGATAATACACATCTAAAGTATTGAAATCATGCTATTTATTTCTCCCTTCCACACGCCTCCCCCCCCCCCCCCCCACCCCCCCTCTCCCAAAAGACAAACACACATACAAAAAAAAAAAATTGTTACTTTATTATTCCCGTCTTTTCTTAAGAAAGTCTAACATTTTGATTAATTATACTGTGTAAATCTGCAGAAAGAAAAAAATGATATAACACATGAAGATGGCTTCCCTCATCAACTAGAATTAAAATCTATTCCTCAGTCTCAGCATTCAAGTAAAAGAACACTAGACTCTACATCTACAATATGGCATTCACATTATGCAGGTAAAGTTCCAAAAGTGCCTCCATCATCTCCATCACAAAACTCTCAACATTGTGAATGTTTTATCTGAACCTGTTTCTTTCCTGTTAGCAGACATAAATGAGGTTAAGGATGGATCATCATGCAGATTCCAGAGTCGCTGGTTTGGTGGTTGGCCTGGAACGGTAATGCACCATATATTTGAAACAGATTTATTTTTATCTCAATCTGGAACACTGAATTCTTTTAACCTTTAGAACTGTGATGCTTTGAATCAATGATTAAAAGATGATTTTTCCGGTTAGTTGTTGTTTTTGAAGTCACTGGCTTTACTAAAAAAAAGGCATATCATGGTTTTCAAGTTAATCTGGGGAAAATAAACTTTTAAAAAAAAAATTATTATTCTGATATCTTAAGCTTTTGTTAGTTCAAAAGAGTCAAGATTGTGGCTTTGAGTATGCTGGATTATCTTTCTTCTGCATCTACTCTTAGAAAAGAGGGAGTGAGGACAACTGAAAAAATAAATAGGAAAAAAAAAAAAGAAAGGAAATATGAGAAGAAGAAGAATAATTTTCCTCCTTATTTGTTCCCATTTTTCAACAGGAAGTAGATGCTTTTGGTCAACTGAAATCAAAGGGGAGAAATGTGGTACCCAAATTCTTTGTTGGTGAGACAAGTTATCTTTCTGAATCCATGGATGTTTTTCCTGATCAGAACTCTATTGTGCATCATCAGCATTATTGCTCAAACCGTGTTGAATCTGGAAAACCTTTTGAAGATTCGTGCAAGACAGTTAGTGAAGGGGCATTTGTTAGTCAGGAAGTCATAAAAGATTCTGCGTCATTTATTGATCCTCTTTGCTCGACTGTTCCCTGTAGCATTTCTGCACAAACCAGTAATTTCTTTCCGCACAATAATAACAAATATGATCATCAAGATCTTGATGCTTTTAAAAACTTACCAACTGGTATGGAAATAGCCCAGACAAGTTCTGATCCTAATACTGTTGGAAAAGAGAAGCATAATACGTTAGATTTTGATGATGTTGGTCCTGATCCTCTGATTCGCCGACAATTGACCTCTCTCAAGACTTATAGTACTGGAATGCCAGGGAATTCTGCATTTTCATTTAAGAGAAAATTTGACTGTGGGTTTGTGAGCTTTGGAGAGAATGATGCAAGGGTGGTTGCTGACTCCATCAACTCCTTAAATGACAAAGATACAACAAAACAACTGCCTATGAGATCCCTATCTAACTGTGCTTCTGCCAAAAGTAATCAGGAAGTTCAAGAGATGAAGCTGCTTCCAGTTGAACAATACATAAGCTGCACCAACACCTCAGGAGGGTCTAAAAAACAATTACCTATTAAATCTGTATTTGAATGCTCTACTGGAAAGGAAAATCATGCTGAAAATGTATGTGCAAGACTGGTGCAAGATCAATCTGAAATGAATGAAGTGGAGCTCCAGGTTAATGTTGATAATATTCCAACATCACCTCTTATTATGTGTCGTACTACACGAAGAGTTAAAGCTCCTAAACTTATTGTTAGCGATGTCACAACAACCAACCTATTGGAAGATCAAGCTCCAGCTCCCGATAAAATTTGTCACAAGTTTAGACAAATCCCTCAAGATCAATCTGTAAATCTTCTCAAAAGTGATGTTCCTACGAGAAAGCAAGTTCGTTTTTCAAATGTTGACTTCCAACTTCAAGTCCCTCAAGTTCAATTGGGAAAAAATCTCAGTAGAATGCGCGCTTGTGAACATGGTGAGTATTGTCAGTTCATTGCATAGTTATATTTGAGTTCTGGATCTTTATTGCATAGTTATATATGAGTTTTGGATCTTTTAAATTTGTTTAATAACATTTTGATTAGGGTCAAGCTGCAGATTGGGATATAGGCCTGAGAATAGTGACCAGGAGCATGTTACTGTATCTCAAGAAGTAAAAGAGCGTCTTACGAAATGTCGCATAAAGGGTAGGAAGAGAGCAATTTTCCAAGGCTTAGACTTTTTGCTAACAGGCTTTTCTAAGAAGAAAGAAAAGGAAATAGAAGCATTACTGAGGAAACACGGTGGAATGGTCCTTTCTGATATTCCTGCTCCACCTCCTTATCCAAGGAGAAAGTCCTTGAGATTGAATGCCGAAAGGCTTCCTGTTGTCTTGTGCACAAAAAAGGTTGGGTTTTTAAATCTTTTTGTAATTCTTTCATTGCTCTCTTTCATAAAATAAAAAATAAATAAAAAATAAAAAATAAAAAACCATATTTTGTAGTGTCTTAGAAAGTATTTTTGGTTTCCTTAAAGTCGAAGTAACTCATATTCCCTTTGTCCAGAAAAAAAATCTTCCTGTTAGGTCTAGGCATCCCTGTGAATGGTTTCAGTTGAATGAGGTAGGAATTTTTTATTAAAGATAGTGGACAGTTTAAAACTAAAAAAATGTGAGAGAAAGGGATTAAGTTACCATGATGCTTTTTGGACATCTCATGAAGGAGTATATAAAGGTATTTAGTGGACCTAGGAGTTACAATAAACATATATCTGCGTTGCACTAGTATCTAAAGCAAAGTTAAACTTCTTGTGTGGTCATTAAGGACAAGGCTTTTCAAACAAGTCCAATGAACTTTTTATATCTTGGGTGAATGGACATTCTTTGTTGAACAAGGGTTATCTCTTTCTCTCTATTGCTCTAGGAAGGGTCAATATTGAGTCAAGCTAATTTTGGATTAGTTTGAGTTTTTTTTGGATTAAGTCCAGATCATCATTTTCAGCTCTAAATGGGGTCTCAGATTGGGTAAATCGGTTTGGGTTAGCATTCGTAACAAGTTTGCTAGGTGTAATTTATTACTTTAATAGCTTGATGCTCGCTCCAAAAAAAAAAAAAAAAAAAAAAAAAAGAATCTTGTAAGTTCGTCACTACCCAGTAGCTCTCCCATGTACTAAAACAAGTAAAACTTGGCACGATGCTTTAAGGACTGTAGCTTCACTCCTCTTCTAGTCTTCTATAAATGAAATAGCCTGATGTTGATTCAACTGCAACAGAATTCTGTATTTATTACTTTAATTGCAATTGTTGATGTTGCTTTTTTGGGCTATAATTAGCTGATTCTACACTGCAGTTAAGTTTTGAGAAGTGAGACTACTGTGAGAGTTTTACTGCTATCTAATATGGTATTAACAGTGTCAGCAAAAGCCTTATCCTGAGACATACTGTTGCATTAAGCTCATCCTCGATGACAGCCCTTGCTCCACCCCTCCTTTTTCTTCCTTGCAATTGCTGTCATTTATCTGAGGCCAGTATACATGAATATCTGTGCATGTCAGAAGTCTTAAGTTATGCATTGGTTTCTAAATTCTCATCTGTGTATTTATTGCAGTTGCAAACAACAAGGTTTTTGTATGGCTGTGCTGTGAATGCCTTCTTGCTTAAAGTTGGCTGGGCATATAATTCAATTAGAGTTGGTTCTGTCTTGCCTCCTGACAAGTAAGTTGTAAACCTTGCATGCCATCTGTAATAATTGTTTTCTTTCTTCCTCATTCTTTCTCCATTTACCTATTATGTTTTTATTATCTGTCTATCTAAGTGTGTTTTTTTTGGTGGTGTAATAATATCTGTGTTAATGACCCCAACCCAGCCAATATCACTCGTTTTTCACAAGACAGCCCATTATTAGATGCATACTCTTTCATACTTTTTTTTTTTTTGAAAGGACTTTCATACTCTTAATACATGGAAACTAATACCGACAGCATAATCGGGTTAATAAGATGGACTAGTGAATGCTAGTTAGGATCGGCCTTGATTTTGATATAGTTTGGAAAATAGTTCTGCCTGGTATGGACTTGGGCAGGAAATATGTATCCCAGTCATGACCTTAATGGAATGGGTCAGCTGAATCTCTCTATTTCAGCTTATTCCGCCTAGCAATCCGAAGGATTGGTTTCTGCTCTTTCTGGCCATTTTCTACCTTGTGATAATCACCTTTTAGACCTTAAAATCAGAAGTGATGCCACAATGTGGTAAATGAGCTCAATATAATAATCACCTAGATGTCTTACTACTAAGTCATATCAGCGCTTCAACCAGTCATATCAGTCAGTGTGTGTGTGTGTTGCTTTCTCCTAATCCATAATGAGGGTGTAGCTTTCTCCTAATCCATAACTAGGTAGTGATCATTATGATAAATTCCTGTAATATTTCCTCGAGAACATGATTACTTGGTCATATGCTAGAATTTTTTCCTTCATTTAATCTCTTCGTTGACCCTCACCTTAAAGGCGCAAACACTTGTGGTTTCAAAAATATAATAAGCCATTGACTTTATTACAATAGTTTTTTTTTTTTTTTGCCCTTTTCCCTAGTAATATATGTACTTTTTATGTTGCTTATTTTGAATTGTAACTTTCTCACGCTTGTTTTGTTGTATTGACAGATACATAATATTATCTAATAATCGGATGCAGAACCAAATTGGGAAATCAATTAGTCAAAATGACAATGATTACATCTTTGACAAAGTTGGAATTATGCTGCATGGAACTCATAGTTTCTGTACCAAGTTTGCTAGAGTTATCAAGGTATAGTAAAAGTTCTCTATACAGTATACAATAGCAATAAATATGTACTGGGTTGGCATGGTGTTCTATATCTAACTAGTGACCCTCGTGTTGTCTTTTCTTTCCTGAATGTTTAATAACTGTAAATTTGTAATCATATTTCATGGATTTAAGTCATAATTCTTGTTTGTTTTTACATGATATTATTCTGTAAAATAAATAGGACTCAGAGCATCACAATTACTAAAAAATCTGAAACCTCAAACTTGCAGTATGATCCCCAGCATTGTTTCCTCCTCTGTTCTTGTCCTGAGCAGTGATAACACTTTGATATGATCTAGAGATCCTTCCTAATTAAAGGCAAGCGTGAAATCTGTTTATGTGGTTTGTTGACTAATACTTTGTATCATGAAATCATTCTAATTTTTTTCTTGTTAGAGGAATTGAATATTTGAATACTAGATCGGAGAGTAGACACATGCCTCAGTAAATGGTCTTTGTTTTTCTTGTACATAATCAAGTTAACCTTTAGTCTGACTCAACTTCTGCTCCTTGTGCAATGTGCCAATGTCAGCATGGACGAGGTCACGTGTACAAAAGCCTACAATGGTTGGTTCAGGGCTTACAGAAAAAGAAGATTTCTCTTGGTGCTGTTGTTGCTGAGGATGAAAATCGTGCAACCCGTCTCCTGAAGAAATGTGCCTCTGAGCAGAAACTTGCTGTTAGGGTTAGTATTAGTTTCATGCTTGGTATAATGTCTAATATTCTATCCGCCTTTTAATGTATTACAAACTCATGTCATTTTGCTTGTGGTGTGCTTGTTTGCAGCCAGCAAATTGGATCACAAACAGCTTATTTGAAGGAAAGCTACTTCCTTTTACGGAAAATCACCATTCATCTAATTCACGGGAAATCAGAAGTTCAGATGTACCCGTTTTACCGGAATGCAGTCAAGAGATCTGATCGTATGGGCTATGATCCCATCATACAAAATTCAATCTTATTTTCTTGATGAGTCTTTTCAGATAGCTAAATTTTCTCTGTTTTACTTATTTTCAATAGCAATGAATAGAAGCTTCCTAGCTTACAGTCCCTGAGACTGTTGGATTGCACATAATGTAATTTATGTAAATATACTGTATTATATAGTCCCAACTGAGAAGAGCTATTTATGAATTTTTGTAGAGAGTGCCAAATTTTAGTACAAACTCGCCAATGTATGATATGTAAATTTTGTATTGACATTTTAAAGATTTGAGTACTTTTGAGGCAAGGTAATTTACTAATTTTCCTCCATTTAGAAATAAAAGCTTCATTAAGAAAGTTTATTTCAAAGAATTACTCAAATTTTTGTAAGCTTCCATTAAATCAGTTTGTTCTTAAGAATTACATTTTACTAAAACATAATTGTGTATTTGAAAAGTCAGTCAAAGTGATGTGTATAAAGAAAAACAGAGGATGTATATTTTGTCATTGCTTTTACTCCCTCTTCTTTATTGTTCTCCTAAGTTACTGTTCATGTAGTTATATATAATTAAACTTCAACCGCTTTCATAATATGTACTTGTCTCACTGTGATTTATCAAAAACATCAGCATGTGAGACCTTGCTAAATTTTTCTTAAGGTAATTTGTCAAAAATACACTACCAACTTTCATAATGTTCACTATGTTTCAAGTTCAACGCGAAATATACAATGTAACTTAAGATAGCTGGGTAGCAATAAATAAAAAGCCCAAAAAATATTCTGGCAAATTTATGTTTCTCTTTTTTTTTTTTTCATTACCTTTACTGTACATTCTTGTAGCGTATAGAGTACAGACAATAAAGCCAACAAGTATTGGCTTCGGATAACACCCTATAAAATAAATCTGTACCAACTAAGCTAGTTAGCATATAATCAAAACCCTACATTAATTGCATAGTTGAGCAAATGGCAACTGTTTCAGTAATGTATAAGATCAATTTGGCAGTGGGCCAACACATACCAAAAACTTAGGTCATCAACTTGAGCTACTCACAATTCCATACACTTATATACACTTTTCTTCAGGCGATTTCAGACTTGGACTGAGATACAGCTGAGACACCACAATGGCAGTAGTGGGAAGTTCGGACTGGCGAAGCCTGATCCAGGAATACTGTGAGTAAAGAAGAGTAATGCCAATTTCAGATCTCAACATCCTGCTACTCAATAGTTTTTCATGATTAGCATCAGAGAAGAATCAAAGATGATCCACAATCTGGAAATAAGTGTCCCACCAACACGACTCGTAAAAGTTACAAGTTTAACATAGGATACAACTCATACAAGTATATACAAGTTGAGTCCCACCCACCTCCCTCAATCATTGTAAGAGGTATATATGGGAAACCATTCATAATCTATGAGTACAATTTTTGGAAAGGTGAAATATTTTTAGAATATCCCAAATAGTACTCCATGTATGTAACTAATATTTTTCTATGGGAGTATTATTTACAGATAAGCATAATATCCCAAATAGTACTCCATTATGTAACCAATATTTTTCTATGGGAGTATTATTTACAGATAAACATGCCAAAGGGCACCAATAGAGTGAATCTAAAATTCTGTACTGCAGTATCATTAGAGAATACCTATCCTGCAAGATTTATATATGAATAAAGATATTCGTATAATTTATCTTCAACTTTCATATCTTCACCTCACAAATTTGCAGCATCACTCTACTACCTCCAATAACATCAAGGCACTTAATCATCAAGGTTGGGGATGTGGGATTATCAGCTGATTGTTATGCGCCTGAAGGTCCTGAACCGTCCCAGACTTTTTAATCTCTATATCTACATTAACAAGATAGCAAACAGAGGTTATTCAATCAATTTGTCTTAACAGTAACACATAAGCCTGATCTGTCAACTATCTTGTAGACCACTGGCCATTTAGAGCACAAAACTAAGTGCTCAGTAGTTAGACTCAAAAGTACTTGGTTTAAGTCAACATAGATGGTTACAGTGTTAGAATACACAGATATGCAACAGTAATTGATCTTTTGAATTATGTGAATCTGGAAGACTATTTCATTAGACAGCTAAAATTGGCAAAACCTTCATTAATTTCATGAAGTTTGAAGCACTCAAATTCACATGCGACCACCACTGTCTAACACAAAGTACAGACTTGAACCATTGGATAACCATTTTCACCTATTTTCCTTGATGGTAAATAAGATATCAGAACATCTTCTTAAGTTGAAATAGCTGTCTAAGAAAGGTTAATGTTCACGAATTCCACCTTCAGTTTCTGATGTCTGAATTAAGTTAAGCCACTACTCTTTAAAAGTTTTACAAATATAGACCCATTAGAAGCTTAACAGAGATAAACCCACAAGAGTTAATAATAAAGATATCAACATATCATGGCAGAATACTACAATTAAAACTGAGAGTAATGTTACTAATCAGGGAGATAACACAAGACACCATTAGAAACAAAAAAGAGGCAGGCTCACAAGAGTTAATAACAGATATATTGTGGCATATTGAAAATATATCTGTTATTAAACTATGTAGTAACATCACTTGGACTAGAATATTGGTGTAACTTGGAGAGATTAGCAGTTTTGTTCTAAACTGGAAAATATAATAAATAAATAAAATTAAAGAAGATAACATGGATGATATGAAGGGAATTTTGATAAAAAGTAGCATAATTGTGGAATTTTGATTTCTTTTAGCAATTTTCATGGAAATAGCTCGTGTAACTTGTCCGCACTTAGTATTTGGCTATTTCATAAAAAATAAAAGATAAATAATAAAACCATTTTATTTTCCAAAATGAAATGTTGAGTATACCAATTGTTGAGGATACGACATGGGTACTTGAGGTAAAATGAAAAGCATGAGTAACAGAGCTATAGAGAAGTATACAAGTATTTAAGACCTTGATGCCATGTCAAAAAGGAAAAAAAATATTGCAAAGTTAAGAAGTGGTAGATGCATGCATATCTTACCATCTTCAAGATAACTACTGCTATCACAGTTGCTAAGGCTTTGGTTCTTGGTTCTCAGTTTCTTTAAGATTGATAAGAACAGCTTGAACTTTCTTAGTTATCTGGGCATTGTAACCTTCAACATCGTTCATAAAAGCAAACAATTGTTCTTGATACAAGGTGCATAAACGTTTTTCATTCCTTAACTCTGCGGTAAGCTCCTCAATCTTCTTATCTTTGTCATCCTACAAGCATCCATAGAAAAAGCATAAGATACTCAAAATCAAAGTTTTAATAAGCATAGCATCAGGCATAACTTCATGATAGCATTTAGCCAACCAATTAATTCGTACTTAATGAAGAGCATAGATTGAAGGATACAATGTGCACAATGGTTGTTCTATGTTGCAATCAAGGAAAGCATAGATTATCAGAAGAGAATCACACTAGATGCTTGCATCAATAATACAGCGATTAATTTTATTAAAACTTTGTTTAGCAGTGAAATCCTCAAAATCCAAGTTCATTATGTCGTATAATTTGATGGGCTGAAATGAAAATGAGGAAACCCAAATCATTGTCAAATCACATGGACTCAACCTAGCTCTTGCAATTCAAGTGGTAAATACACTTAGCTAGTGATCAAAAGTTCAGAAAATGCATCACACAAGAATTTAAACCACATAAACAGAATTCACAAAAGCATGAGCTAGTGTAAGATATATCATCTTTTAAAATACACCGTATATGCCAAACAGCCAAATGAATAAATTCAAATCTCTAAGAGCAACATGGCACAAGTGTTCATAATTTTCAAATGCAGATTACAAAGAAAAAATAAGAAACAACTGAGCCATCCATCACAGCACTATATTCTAGACATTCAATGCAAACATTTTTCACCACCATACTTTAAAAGGTAAACAAGATGTTAATCTGTCTGCAAAAACTCACCATTTTTTTCCGAACTTCCCTTAGAGAAACCACCAATGGATGATTGTGATCTCTAACAAATCTCGTGACAACCCATTTTCCCGACTTATCAAATTTCACAAGAATCATGGCCTTACAGTCCCCTCGGGTGCTTGCCCTTGGCTTCCTGACCTGACCAAGTTTCCCACGAATGCTTAAACAATATCCCTCTTTATTACATCCAAAACGACGGGCCAATATCCTCCCATCAACCTCTGAACGACGACATGACATCACTCTCATGACAAATCCTACCTTCCTAGCATAGTCATCATAGAAAACCTTAGCTGCCTCTTCAGAATCAAACTCCATACCTTCATTTGGCTCAACGACGCCATCTCCTACACCAATATCCGATGATTCCCTAGCTGAATTCTCAAACTCACCAGCTTCTTCATCAGATTCCACTATGAAGCAATCATAGGATCAACCTAGTCAGCTGAATTTGAATTGCACTCAAACATGCAACTAAACCCCAAAACTAGTAAAAGGACATTTACAGGATTGCACATGATTGATAAAAATATCACAAAAATAACCAATAATTGGATTATAATTGACAAAATGGCAGTGAATTTGTGGGATTAACAAATGAGTAAACTACTTAATCAAAGAAAACCAACAAATATATTCAAAATATACATTTTTCACACTTTTTTTTTTTTTTTTTTTTTTTTGGTGATAATACACACATTCAACTACTTTTACATGTACGAATTCCATAAATTGCAAATTATTATGATACCCAGAATTTAGATTATCTAAAGTTAATAATTTTTGGGTAATTATTCTAAAAAACCCATGTAAATTAAAGTATAAGAAGAAAATCAAACATGGTTAAAATTATAAATGTGCAGTGAAGATAAAATTAAAAAAGATTAAAGATGTTAATGGAGTAATTGGAAGCATAATTGTAAGAGATTGGTAACTTACTTTAGTATACGAATGAAAATTTCAAGTCTTTCGGCTTCTTAGGAAGTATCAATGCAGAAAAGAGATATAGAGGAAGAGAATAGAGAGGTAAAGGTGGAAGAACAAATTCACTCAAGACTGAAATGTAGTAGGACTAGTTTGGAGGAGTTAAATGTGGAGTAAGAATAATTTATTTTTTATGTTCTTTTACTCCTCGTATGGTTAACATGGGAATTAAATATCAATAGAAAACTGATTGATAATTTGGTAAAAGTAATTGATTAAGATGTTTATATGCGAGCATTGTATTTTTGGATTTCCTTTTTTATAGTAGACATGAAATGACCGTAATTTCAATTTCAACTCGATTTGAAATTACTTTCATTCTACAAACAAAAAATTTACAATCTTTAATTATTTTATATGTGATGTATAGATAGTGAAACTCAATAGGAAATTTTGAGTGACATTTAATTTGATCTTTCTTGTGGCTATTGATTGTTTAATTGATTAAATTTTTATTAAATGCGTCTAATTAATGTTTTTTAAAACATAATAAAACACAAAATTGGAAAACCCCTTTATAGAAAATTCATCCATTTCTCCTAATTTATTAAACCCTAATTAGAAATTTGCACAAAATTTGAAACTCTAAACCCCAATCAATCAATAACTACAAACAAAAAAAGAATAGTTACACGGTTAATAGAAATTACAATTTTTTTAAAAAAAAATCAATTTCATGCTTAGATGTTAATTTATAAGAATATACTTAGTATAAGTGAAATAGGAATTGGATTTGAAGGGATCTAGTGGGTGCCGTAATGAAAAGAAGATCTAGAAAGAAAAAAAAAAAAAAAAGAGAGAGCCCCCACAAACATAATTTGTGACAAAGTAGTGTCACTCAAATATTTAAAGAAAGTGCGGTAATTATTTAAAATGAAAGAGAGCCCCCCACAAACATTATTTAAGATGTTTGATACACACAATTTCAGCTATCATCACTAGATTCACTACTAAGAAGTGGTGCCTATAAAACTGTCGTAAAATTTGAAAAATAAGGCGGTTTTCGTTAGCCAGCGACAGTTTTTGGCCAATAAACCGTCGTAGGGTGACCAATTAAGGTTTATAAGATGTTTAATCCACATTATTTCAGTTATCATGCATGTTGCACTGCGATAAGCTAGCTCAGTAAATTACCAAAGGATTTGGTGAATAGAGTGAAAGTTTGCTTAGAAAAAACTTGAGGAATGTGGCTTTTCTGTTTGATCTCAAATTTCACAGGCGATTCAAGGGCCAAGTCCACATTACACAGAGATGCATTTTCTTTATCGAACAAGGGGAGCATGAGGAGCTCAGTCTTACAATAATCACCAGTTATAATGATTCAGAAGTGTTCCAAGCTACCCATGCTGTAAAAATGATTGTTAGCTTAAGAATCAACAAGGCTGTTCTAAAAAACAATGTGGTCCCGTAAAAGGAAAAAAAAAAAAAAAAAAAAAATTCACAATTTTAGCCTCATTTCACAGAATTTCTGCACACAAATTTCCAAAGTGTTTAATCTTTGGATATCACCTACATTGTAAAAGTAAGAGAGCACCAAATACTATCTACAGTTCTCTTTCTCTCTCGACTCAAATTCTCTAACACTGCCTACAATATCTTGGATCTTCTTCGAAAGGCTCTGGTTATGTTCCTCGATGTGCTCGAACACCATTTCGAGATGCCTTTTGTATGTGGAAGCTCGCTTTTTCTCAACAGCTAACTGCTGGGATAATTCCCGAATTTTATCATGCTCATTCTGCAAAACAGCACCACAATTGTCAAACAAACTGACAAAGCCAAACTGCAACACTTTCTTTTCTCTTTGTTTTTCTCTTTCTTAGAAACTGAAATGAGTATTCCTACATAGACCCAACTGTTCTTGAGATTATGCTCATAAGCCTAAAGCATGACATTTGAAATGAAACAATAATTAAAACAAAAGAAGCCATCAAAACACCAATGATGAATCAGAGTTTAACTAATGGGTCCTTTTTATTACTTATACTCAGTTCACACCTCACTAAGGCAGGCAAAAAGAAAAAGGATTGGTTTATCAAAGACAAATAATATACAAAGATTCAGTAAATAATCATTTAATCCAATAATGTTGTTATTGTCATGAGGCCTCCGAGAGACCATATATACATCATATATACTAAACCCAACTAAATTAGATTATCAAACACTACAACCAACTGTCAGATAGAAAAGAACTATTTTAACCAAAACATCCCATTCCACCCTTTCCTCCAAATCAAAACCCTTAGCCTATCCAAGTCAAAAACTGGCAAAAAGGTCAAAAACCCGGCAGACTCTAAGCTTAATTTGTACATTTAACGCCCATCTTTATGGCCCATGTTCTAAGCTCTAAATCCAGCATCCTACGTAAGCTAACTTGGCCAATTTATCAAAAGCATCAACCCATTTTTTATCTGGCAGCCTATGCTTCCCGGTAGCAAGTAGAAAAATAGAATCCTATGGGCCATGGCAGATATGAAACAATCGGGCCATTAAATTCTTGTGCTACTTAGCATAGGTAAAAGATAAAACCTGTCATAGCTATATTACTTGCACAATTACATGTGCAGGGGACAAAAAAATTCCAAATAGTAGACTGGCATAAATTGAATTTGGAAATGAAAAACACATCCTCCTCAACCCCATAATTGCACATGATTATAGCAATGCACCTCCCATAAACACAACCCTAATATCCGTCCCTTTCCCCCTTTTTCTCGCGGGCATTACTTTTGTTCAGACAACCAAAATGAATGCAACACTGTACTGTAGTAGCAGTTTGACATACTAGTTTTTATTTATTCTAACCCATCCAACTAATGTCTGCTGCCACTTAAAAAGATATCAAGAATCATCCAGAAATCATATGCTTTCCCAAGTTTCTCACCAAGACCTATGAGATTTTTTTTTGTCTACATAATAAAGATCACGAAGCTTATCCTAATTCATGCTAAACCATGCTTTTCTTCACCTTCCATCTCTTACCATCCTTTTTCTCCTTTACATTGGATTGTCCAGGTATTAAAATCCAATTGATGCCATATAATCACCATATGTTCAGTGATTTAAGCAATTCCAAGTAACACAGCACACAAGCAAACAGCAATAAGCAAAATGACCGTATGAAAAACACTTACTCTGGCCTTCAGATATAACACTATCATTTCAGTTCCAAGCATATTAATTCTGTGGTCCAAACCTCATCAGATCTTTCTAGCGTGTCTTAATACCAAAATTACACTTCCAAACAAAGAAGCCCAGCATCTGTCAGAGATTTATTGGCAATGACATGGCATAAACCCCAGGACACTGGTAGTTTCACATCTGTCAGAGTCTAACATTGATCTAGGCATCTTAAAAATCTTGTACCAGTCTCAATTGGTTTCCACATATAAGACTCAAAATTGCTGCAGAAAATAACATGGCACCAATACAGTTCTTTGTTGCACAAAGTAATAAACTATTAATCCACACAATCAATTCTATATTTTTAAAATCGTTTTCCCAGAAAGGCCTTTCAAAATCAGATACAATTAAAAACCTACCATTTACAGCAACAAGACAGGCCTCAATTATGCTAGCTAATGCATCTCCGCACCTGGAAAAAAAGTACTGGAGTTTTATTGTTTATGTGACAGAAAAAAAGGAAAACCATTCATATTAGATATCTTCAAGAATACAAGAAGCTCATTAGGACCCTCTTCCACCATATTTCCTCACCAGTTACCACTAAACTTCCCACTCATTCTCCAAGATAGTGAAATACTAACTTCGTTCACAGTTTTCTTTACATAAGCCAGTTTAAAGAAATTGAAACTCCTAGCAAAGTCCCACACCTTCATGGCTAACTTCCCAAATAATGACCAATCGATTCTAGCCTGCTTCAGTGCTATAGCAACCTTCAAACAATAACTTCGAGAATGGCATCTCAAACTCCATTATCAAAGGATATGCTAATATTTATCATGCTGCTCTTAGTTCCACGCTTCCACCAAATCAGAATCAGAAGTTCTGTCTCCTGATTTCATGCCATTCCATATAATTTCGCCCACATCATCTCATATACTCCCTATACTGATCTCCCTCAAATCCCAAATAACATTCAACTTTCAAGATTCTCAAAACAATCTTGTAAAAAAAAAAAAAAGAAAAAAGGGATTTTCAAAACAAGACTGCTAAAGGCAATTCTGAAAAATTAAATAAGGGACGGAACAACTGCTCCTTCCAGCTAGATTATCAATGCCACAATTAGAACAAGCTCAATTCTCATCCAAACATTAGCTCACTCTAGACAAAGCTAACAATAAACCAAATTCCATCTTGATAACATCCAGCACAAGTGAAGGTAATCAAGCAACAAGCATCTCCCTCCCATCCCTCCCCCAACCCCCCTCTCTTTCCCATAGATAAGGTAAAAATAAAATAATGGTTAGTTTTGTTTCTAACTTTGCAAAACCCTTGAACCAGATGAGTACTTGAAAGAATTCTTCCTTGAACCAGATGAATACTTCAGCACAGGACAGAATAAGTACTTCGAGAGCATATTAATCAGTGCCAATTGCCAATATGTTTCTTACAAATTAATAATACTATTGCTACTAACAGATGATGGATGACATGCAAAAGATAAGAAACCTAGATAGCCCCATAATAATGTATCTTACATGAATTAATTAGGGTGTTCTTACATCATATGCTACCAAAATAAGCTAATCAAAAAGTAATGGCAATGTTAATAAAATTGAATAGATGAGGCGAGAAGCCAAGAACTTACCGGGTATTGCTCAAAGATAAGATCTTTCCGCCCCTTTCCTGGCGTTAGAGGATGAGTGTGTTCTTTTACACACTTTGTGATCACCCATTTACCGGAATTCATTTTCCTCACCAAAATCATTGCCCTACATCCAACCCTAGTTTCAGCTCTTTGCCTCACAACCTTTTCACGTTTATCGGGCATCCTATAACCCTCTTTATTACAAACCAAGGCTCTGCCAATAGCAGTACCATCACGTCTTGACCGAGATAACTTGCTAACTCGTATTACAAATCCCACATGTGTAGCATATGTGTTGTAAAATGCATGAGCAGCCGCCTCTGATTCAAACTCTTGCCCCACAAAAGGCTCATTTATTGGTTCCCCGACTGGGATAACTTCCTTTTCAGATAACTCCTCATTCATTTTATCATCTTGGCTCTGTCCCCCTTCAACAGAACTTCCTCCCATATCATTTTCATCACCAACCCTGCCCTCTGTATCCGCGGAACTTCCCACCACTTCACCATCAACATCTCCATCAACCCCAAAATCCACTGCATCACAATCAACTCTCTAAATTAATAAATTACAAAAGCAAGACCATGCATAATGTAGAAGCAATGTAGAAGCGGCGATTATAGCACACACTATGAATTTTCAAGTTAAATCTAATTTTATCTAAAGATTTACATGTATTCATAGAAACCATCCAGCTGCAATCTACAATAGGAGGTAGGTGGTTCTCTATGATATATACTCTTTCCATCCGAATATAATTATCATATTGTCCTAATGCTAAACTTCTAACAACATAGCATGAATTTACTCAAGGACACTTTATAATAGTTGAGCCCTTTCCAATCTCGTCACTCCATTAAGGTAACAACTAACAACATATTAGAAAGCCTACAAAATAAATTTCTCTGAATTAAATTAATACAATTTTCAAGAGATATGACAATGTTTTCCGAGATATCCCTAATCCGTACAAACGAGTCTTAATTCTAGATGGGGAAAATTACTTGATCACGATTTTACCAGCATCTCTTTTAGTACTTCCTTTGTTCATAAGTGTTCTTCATACTTTCCATTAAAAGAGAGTAACTTTAACTATAAGTATTCATCAATTTTTACATAATATATATACTCACGTGGGATCTAATTAAATTTGTGACGAAACGTGGTTTCAAAATATTATCTTTTCATAATTTTATATAGTGCAATATGTTGATCTTTAAATATGTACAACGCTATCATGCTAAAAGCAAACATGGACAACATTCAGAAACAGAGAGAGTACAAAATAACACCGACCATAATGACAAGACACAGGCTTTCAAGACACAAGCCCTCACCATACTTCTACAAAATTAATTACCATCTCCCAACAATGAAGACAATTTATTAGCTCCACCATAAAATTATCATACACAAACATCTTCTTCAACAACAAATCAAATGAAACAATTAATGAAAAAAATAAATAAATTCCATCAATCTAAAAATAACCCAGATACCTAAATAACAAATACTATATATTAATGATACTCATAATCAATACAGTTGCAAAACCCATGAATTCTTCATTACAGAATAAATTGATCAAACAATAATATGTACAAACCCAACAATAATTAAACATAACATGAACCAAAATTACCCAAAAAAACCTAGAATTATCGTAGTATGAGTAGTAAATTAAAATATAATAAAGAATTAAAATAAAGAAATTAACCCTAAAATAACACAAAAATCCCAGAAATTTGCAAAAAAGTAAGAATTACTTACTTGATTCTGTGAATGAAAAAGGGTGAAGAAAAGATTGAAAATTGCGTGAGTCAACGAATTCAATGAAATTAATTTAAAAATTGGTTGGTTTTGAAGGGAAGACGTTGGATGAATGTTGGTTTAGAGAGAGAAAGAGAGGAGGTGAAGAGAGAGAAAACAGGGGATGTTTGGTCCTGCATAGCACGTGATAGGTCACGTGAGGATTGGAGCAGCCAGCACTCCAGCAGGCAGCAGCCGTGCAAGTTATGCGATAATGGGGTTTTAAAAAGAGGGAAAATGTATATATACGTAGTAAATTAAGATGGAAACTTGGAAAGGTGCTAGTTTTTTGACACGTAGAAGACAACCATGAATGCATTTTTTTTTTTTTTTCTTGCAACACTGGTTAAGAAGGCATTGGGGTGTAAATGAAGCGAGCCGATCAATAAACTACTTAGATTCGAGCTCAGTTCAAGCTCGTTCATATTCGTTTATTTAATAAATTAGCCGAATTTGAACAAATTTTGAAGCTCGTTTATAAATGAGTTTGAATAAGAACACAAATATGTTTGTTCAGATAAGTTCATGAACTTAGCTTGTTTATTTATGTTCATGAGCTACTCGTTTATTTATATTCATGAATTATTGATTTATTCACAATTGTTAATTTGATTCTTAAATTTATAATTAAGATTTAATTATTATGTTAATTTTGAGATTTTCAAATGTCAAAAGTACAAAGCTTGTTTATAGAGAAGCTCGTTTATTATTAAGCTCGTTCAAGAAACGGTCATTTAACAACTCATTTAATAAATAAGCTGTTCACAACCATTTGCGAACATACAATGTACTAAATGAGCCGAGCTTGAACAAATTTTTGAGCCTGCTTGTAAGCTCAAAATTGTGCTCGGACTCACCTATGTTAAATGAACTAGTACATGTACAAGGTAGTACTCGGCTCGGCATATTTACACCCCTAAGAAGGCATAATGATAAAGGTTTAATATTAAAAAAACAAATGGAGTAGTAATCAATCAATCATCAATAATAATAACTATATATTGAAAGACACACCAGCAATGACACGTGTCATTTTCTAGTGTGTCCTTAGTTTTTTTATTTTTTTTAAAAAAAAAAAATTTTGGAAACAAATCTTATACAATACATAAATTAAAGATAAAAAATTTATACATATATAAAAGATCATAAAAGATTTGATGTATATTTCCATAATATATTGTCAACTATATAAATATAAGTAAAAAATGAATTAGATTTTTTTTATAGAATTTGTGTCAAATATTACAATAAGGATTCTATTTTTTTTATTATTTTTATTTAATTATATATTAGAAGCTCCAAGAAAGTCATTCGAATATCAAATATTAAAAAATTACTTAAAATAAAAGATTTGATGTATCCTTCCAAAAAAAAAATTAACAACTTTAAATTTAAGCACAAAAGAAAAAAAAAGGAAAAAGGAAAAAAAAAAAAAAAAAACAAACAGATTCTTAACATAATTTGTAATGTCCTACATTTTAAGAAATTCATTTGGTTAATATATGATACCAATGCAATTTGTTAGTGAAATCAAATATATACAAAAATATATGAATATTAAGCATAGTTATTAAAATCCCGATCCGGATCTTACAATTCTACGATTCAAAATTGCGTGATCGATCCGGATCTTTGGTAGGATCTTAAAGTTTGTACGATCTTACGATCCTACTCCGATATTAATTATGAGTGGTAGGATCTCAACACGATCCTGCGATTTTATTACAATCCTACAATCCAATCCAACATTTCACTATAATATGAGACTTTGATTTATTTTGATACTAGATTAAGTCCCGTGCATCGCACGTTTGTTACTAAATTTTTCAGTGTATATTGTAACAAATTGCAATATTAATTCAACAGTAATGGTACGTACACCATTATTTTTTATACTTATACCAATGACAAGGTTATCGAAACATTAGACTTTATTTTAAAATAAATAAATAAGGTCTATGAGATTTTATATTAAAAAATAAAATCTAGTTTAATGCCCATGCAGTGGCCATGCTATTATTAATACCACTTACAAAAAAAATGATATACTTGTATATATATATAAAATACCAAAATGATTTTTTTAAAATTGAAATAAACTTTATTGCAAAAATAGTAAAGTTGAAACAAAGGAAAAAATTATAATATTATAGGAATAATTTTAAATAAAAGTATTAATTTAATAATTACTTAATCTTTGTTCATTTTTTTTAAATACATACAAATATAAAATAATTGAAAGAATATGAAAAAATATTCTAGTTGAGTGTATATGTATAGAAAAAATTTGATTGTCAAACTGGAAAATATATATTATATATTTTAATTCTAAATTGTTTTCTCGAAATATTGAAAAAAAAAGAAAAAAAATGGAGAGAAATTTTTTAATCATGAAATGACATGTGTCATGCCTAATTTAACTTTAGTATATATAAATTATTGATTTGAATGTATTTGAAGATTTAATTTGAAATTATATATATATTAGCGATATATAGAATATTATTTTGATGACAATTTTAAAATATTTGCTATAATATAAATGGCGTGAATATTTTTTAGTGTTTCAAAAACATATGGTGGTCAAATAGGAAGGTTATATATTATAATAATGTAGTAAATATATTTGAAGAAGATTTGATGAACAAAAAAAAGAAAAAGAAAAATGTGTTTTGGAGGGAAAAAACAGCACCAAGAAATAACACGTGTTATTCATGGTGTCTGTTTTAGTATTATGATATTATTGATATTTTTTTATTACTTATTAGGTTATATGCACCTAAATTTAATGTATTCAATAATTATCGCTAATAAATTAGCGAATCCGAGACATTAATATGATTTTATCAATTGACAACTTGCAATTTGTCATAGTTAAGGTCTAATTCTTGACAAATTTCCACATAAATTATCAATTTAAATTTGTGTTATTAATCTTCTAACTACCATACAGACAAAGCTAAATGAAGATCGATCTTTATTAAGCAAACCAATGTCTTTTAGCATTGAAACTCCTTAGAAGAAATGTTTTTAAGTCAATTTATTGCATAATATATAATATTATTCGTTATTAAGTAGGATCTAACGATCCTACGATCCGATTCTATCAATTCGATCCCTCCCCCCATCGATTCAAGGTAGGATCCCGATCCTAATAACCTTGATATTAACAAATGCGTATTTTAAAATCATGTCTTGTCAGTGGTCAATTATCACTTTTTATATACACCCGGGTGCACATAGAGGTATGTGTAGCCAAAAGTAGTTTTAAAGAAAATATATTGGCTAACAGGCTCTTTCATAAATTCAGCATAATATTTTAGACAAAATTTTATTTTATAACTAAATGTAATGTTAATATGAAACAATTATTAAAAATTACCGTGTATGGCACGAGACCTAACCTAGTTGTTACGAAATCGTTGCCAAAAATGTGATAACGTTATAGACCTTATAGTGATCTAATTAGGTAGATTGTTCATGAAGAGACGTAATGAATTGATTTAATGTATGCATCCAGCATCAGTTGCAATCTAACTCATGAAATCTAACTCATTGTCGATGATATTAGATTTTTCATTCTACTTAAACTCCAGTACTTGATTTTATACATCTTGATAATCATTGTCGTTCATAAATATACAAGTACATACGAGTAATTTTTTAAAGTAACAGTTTAACAATGTATTACTGTATTAGAGTGTCTTAGAAAAATAGAAAGCATTAATGTAATTGAAATTTAGTCTTATATGGAGTACGTAGTTTGTATACAATCCTCACCATCTTGGGGTTGTATGAGGATTTCAGAAACTGGTCAGTCTGGTCCATTTATATTGAACTAAGGTTCAGATTATTACATTGAAATCACCCAACTTTTAGAGCTGAATCATAGAGTATTTAGCTGAGTATTCGACTGTATTAAAGAATTTTGTTGAACTTCTTGAGAACTCGTTATTCATAAAATTTTTAGCACTTTTGCATACCAATCTTTTCATAATAAAAGTATTCCAAGCAGTCGAAGCAGAAAACCAAGTATATCTCTATTTTATAACAAATCAAAGAATGTATAAATGAATTTTGTTCAATATACATCATCCTACAAACATTTGCTGATAGCAGCAGTTTTTTTATGAAACAGAAGGTAAAGAATATATAATGTTACAAGATATCAGTACATTGAATAAAATATAGACAAATGCAAATAGATCTAAATCATCTAATAGTTCTTCCAGCTCAACCAAGTCCAGTTAAAACGGAGATTTTAAAATGAAAATCAATGATGTTAGGAGATTATTTCAATAACTGGATCACAAAACTATGAGGCCATACTGATTGTTTGCGCTTTTATTTCAATGCAACTTCATTCTGCTGGTGCCAGGCTTTATGACAGATATCTTTGCATTGTGGATTTGTTTGCTTGTTGAAGATGCTAAAATTCGAGGATGATGCCATTTTTAGAAAGCTCAAAGTAATCAAACTGCTCTACCTGTTAAACAACTGAGAAAAGATCAGGACTGCCATGCCAGCATATTAGAAAGGGAGGCCTTGTGCTGCATAAACTGATAAATCGGTCAAAATTATTTTGATCAGAGAAATGAACAAGTGAGGAACGTTACCAATGAATGTACATGCATCACTTCTTAGTTTATGGTCTATGTAATACAGCTCATTAACCATTTATTGAGTTTCAGTTCCAATCTACCAAAGGTTAAAACTTAAATGCACCCTCAAACCTTGCAAAATTTGTTTGCACATGCCACCACTTTGTAAGAAGACAGTCCAAGAACCTGCACTCTTTTACATTTTCCAGATTCACCATCACATACTCCAAGACGAACGCCATTTCTATAAGAAACCAGTGTTTCCCCAGTATCCAATTGCAGTAGAGGCATACGATGAGAGTCAACCTGGAAGACATATTGCTTCACCCAAGAATCTTTCACACCATATTCCTTCATAAGCCAAATTTCACATTGACTACAATTTTCAGACATAGAGCTGAAACAAAGGCAAGAATTGAAGACACTCACTTCGGTGTAGAGCTCTTTCTTCATATCATCTGGTACAGGAACAAGCGAAAATTTTTCAGTTCCAAAATGGAATGACCATAAACAATTGTCCCTATAAGAGTACCTATGAAGCGAACTATGAAGGAAAGCCCCACTCTTCCTGAGCTGAAATGTTGGAGCATCACCAACAGTTCTCCATTTATTGGTGCCGAGTGTCTGTATCTCAGCTATACACCTATAACTCTCCATTGTCTTAAGGATTCTAACAACTTTGAATTGGTTCGACACAGGGCAGCAGCCCAACCCATAAACCTCAACTGAACAAGACGGCTCACGAAATTGTTCAACAATCACCTGTTGGCTAGTTAAAAGATTACATACAATGTAAGGACTCCATTGCCCCCAAGATTTCAAACAGATAACCCCATTGCATTCATTAACAACATACAAGTCATCATGGGGTGTGTTTACTATAGATTTGAACCTAATCAAAGAATCATCACTAACACAAAGATTTCCCATCTCATCTACCTTTAAGGATCTGTCTAAGTCAAGCAGCAGAAAATCTTTCCTCTTGTTATCCAACTTACCATAAAGCAAGACAAAGAAATACGAACAAGAAGAACGAAAATGAGCAAACTCAGAACCAGTAATGATCTTATACCAATCTTTACAAACAATCTTACGATTCAGGCAAGCCTTAGTTGGGAGTCTTGACAATATATTACACATAATTGAAGATGGGATATCCTCGAGAGTGGTTCGATTCGAATTCAATTCCTCCACAAGCTCTATTATCATTGTGATCAATACCAAAATTTCCAATAAATCAACAGCCAATTTCTCAACATATAAAAGATTTGGAAAAATGGGAAATAAAGATAATACAAAAACAACAAATGGGTTGTTCAATAAACCTGCAATCCTTTGAATTTATGAAGCAATGAGATCCTCCAAAGTTTCCAATGCTCTGCAATTAAAAACAAGTTTGAATATTTGATGCTGTTGAAGAATAGATGATAGAAATGAAATTAGAAAAAGAAGAGTCAATACATAGATTGGTTCAAAGTTATGAAGATTCTGAACATTAAATTTAAAAATTGTCTGAAAGTCACTCTGACTTTTTATCAAACACTTGGTGTGCATCTACAATATCCAATTTTCGGAAAGAAATAATCTATCCACACAAAAAAAGAATTGCAGCATATGATAATTTCGCAGCTTACCCAGTAAGGCAGTAACTAGCAGGTGGATGAGTGGATCAAACATTTTCAGAGTTCAAGTACTCCAAATGTGATTTAATCATTTGAGTGAAGCTAAGCTTAGATTTTTATTTTTATTTTTGGGGTGGGTGGAAAATATCAAAATAACTTCAAGAGTAGAATTAAAGGGTAATATTTTTTTGTAATAAGGGCATTTTGCTATTCTTCAAAATAGTCAAGGGGGAGTTCTCCTACCGCGTAAAAAAATACGCCTCCAATTTCTAGTACTAGATACTCCGTGATACATAATTTGTGTGATTATACTGATTAACTTGGAATTTTTAATTGGGGAAAAAATATTCTCCTAACTATGCTAATATTCATGCATCTTCAACGACATTAATGTTGGTTTAAACTTAAAGTTCGAGACTTAAATTTAAGTTAGAACAACATCCTAGTTAGTGATCTAAGCACTTAATTGTTCAATGAGTTACAAATCTTCCAATACTTAAATAAAGTAAAAACACAATTCATTGTCAAAATAGGAAAGAGAGAAGAGATAAACATACATTGGTGAAATGTTTCATGTATAATACTAGAAGATTTGACATATACCTCTAGGGCACTAGAACATCCAATAGTAAAATTTACTGGTTTAATGGTATTTTGCATATACTATCTCTGTTTTGTAAGTTCTACTCGCTTACTTTAGATACGCAATTCAAGAAATTGTTGAAAAATGTGAGTGCGTGTAAGATAAAGTAAGAGAGAGAATGCAAAAAGAGAGTTTGTGTAAGGAAAAGGTGGATAAAGTAAGAGAGTGTGTATGGAAATGTGTAATTATTGTAGGGATAAAGAAGTAAGATGGTAAGGCCATAAATAGAATAATACAAAGTGTTAAAAAAAAAAAATGTGCCTTAAAATGAAAAGTGAGTAGAATAAAAAAGAACAAAGGGAGTATCATAACCAATAAAAAAATTTCAAAGATATTGCTATATTCATCATAAGGAGAAAATTCATGCATCTCAAAGGGGTATATTTGTCATTTTAGCTAATAAGATGGGGTTAAAATTGTAAAATTGTCTAGAATATCATTGTATTCAAGCAAAAGCAGAACATCATCAATGGAGGAACAAAAATCAGAACAGCATCAATGGGAGAACAAAGAGCTTCAACGGTGAAATGGAACTTGACAATTGGCTTCAATGGAGGAAATTAACACTCATATATACCTTTTGGGTTAACCATGCCCTTAATTTTTCTATTTTTCTTAGGATTTTCGTTTAATTTGGCGCGGAATTATGAAGGTGAACATTGGTGGTTTACAAGATGAAACAATATTATTGGGAAGGAGCAAGAAAGAGATGAAAATGGAGGGGAATGACAATGGAGCAAATCTGCAGATTATGAAGAAGACCAAACCCAAAAAAATAGTACATTAAAAATTATAAAAAAATTCATAAAGGTCTTTATATTTACCTATTTGCCATTTTGAGATACAGGTCTTGTATCTCATATTGAGATACTGAGACTTCCTCCATCATAAGTGTTAAGGTATATTGATATGTCATCAAGTGCGCTTAAATTATGCATTTTTTTCATCTTATTACGAAAAGAAAAAAAAATTAAAGAACAACAATTACAGAATTTTAAAAAAAATTAAAAATACGAGTAAGTAAAGAACTTGCACTTTGTGATACTCGGCTTTAGGATCCATCATTTTCTTAAGGTTCACTTCTAATGGGCAATTGCATCTTCATAGCTTGGAAAATTTGGCATTACATAAAAGTAGTTCAAAATCAGAAATCTCCAGAACTCGTACTCTTCTATATCTTCCAGATTCAACATCACATACTCTAAGACCGTGACCAATGCCAACATTACAATAAGACATTAATATTTTTCCATCGCCTAATTGCAATATTGGCATATAATGTGAATAAAATTCCTTTAGAAAGACAAACTGCTTCACCCAAGAACCTTTGTCGCCGTATACTTTCATCACCCAAATCTCACATTCGCGATGATCTTGTGATGCGGAAGTAAAATAGAGGCAAGAATCAAAAACACCCACTTCTCCAAAACGTTGTGCATTCATATCATCGGGCAATGAAACTTGTGAAAATTGTTCGTTTCCAAAATGAAATGACCATATACAATTGTCTACATAGGAGTACCTATGAAGTGACTCGTTAAAGAAAGCCCAACTCTCGCTGAGGTGAAATTGTGGAGCATTGTCACCACCAATAATTCTCCATTCATTGGTGCCGAGTGTTTGTATTTCGACTACACAACTTTGCTCCGTCTTGAGGAGTCTAACGAGTTTGAATTGGTGCGACACAAGGCAACAACCCAACCCATAAACCACGACGGTACAAGGTGGTCTAGGAAATTGCTCAACAATTACTTGTTGACCGGTTAGAAGATTACATATAATGTAAGGCCTATGAGCTTTAGGCTTCAAGCATATTAGCCCATTGCATTCGTTGATCACACGTACTTTGTGAGGAGGGTTGATAATAAGTTCGGGTTGAAACTTAATCATAGCATCAACACTTACATTAAGATCACCCATGTGACCAATCTTTGAAGAATCGTCGAGATCAAGCAGTAGGAAATCATTCTCCCCTTTAGAGAATGTACCATGAAGCAATATTGTGACGTAGAAGCGAAGAGAAGAGCGTAAAGTAGCATACTCAAAACTGACTATGATCCGATACCAATCTTTGCAAACAAGCTTACAACTTAGGCATGCCTTAATCGGGAGTCTTGACAATATTTCTAAGATGATCGATGTTGGTACAACTTCAAAAAAAGATTGATTCAATTCAACTTTTTTCATAGCTAAATTAATGCATGTTCTAGCAGTTGAGACCAAACATTATACTTCGTATTAGTTACATGTCAACTACTAATTTGCTGTGACCTTTTTTCATGTGCGACGAAGTCAATGATCGTGCTAGCGAGTTGTACAGTTTATGTATGCTTTGTTTATTTCGTACAAGTATTATACGAGTATAAAGATTTCATACTAGATTGTGTCGCAGTTCAAGGGAAGGGCTAGGTGAGACATTTTTATTTGGATCACACCATCAATCAGAACAAAAGTAGGTTTATGATCACATTTTTATATTAATTTTTACTTAAAAGGTATGGAGAAGGACTCCAATTAGACGTCAATAGTGTCAAAAGTTAACTCGACTGACCTAACCAAAAAATTATCCGATTCAGATTTTAACTCACATGGACACAATAATTTAGCATGATTCAAGTTTAAAATAGATTCGACTCGACTCAACTTCACTAAACTCGACCCAGACATCCGAATTGACACCTTTAGACCTCAACCCTCAGAGTTTTTTTTGGTCTATTATTTACGAGTTTAATACTATAAAACTAAAAGTAAGGAATAGGTTAGTAGGTTTAATTACCCTTCCACTAGACTAAGCTTAGTTTAATGGATGACATATATCATAATCAGTTTATAAAGACTTAAGGATGCATGGTATTTACTATACGATAAAAAATAATACTATGAAGTAACACCTACACTCCTACAGTATAATAGAATTTAGCTTGACATTTTTTAATGAATGTGAGAGAGTGTGTAATAATTGTCATGTTTCTAATTAATTTTTAATTTTACCTCTTAATATGACACCAAGTTAATTTTTTCGCAATCGTCAATGTAGAATTTTGGTCGTTAATATGTTTAACTCTAAATAAATAAAAAGTAAAAATGAAGTTGAAATTTTTGAAAGCACAAAATGACAAAACAAGATAATTCTAACAAAATCTTACATTATTCATTACATATAAGTCACAATAAATAGTCAAAAGAGAGTGTGTGAGTAGTGTAATAATCAACATAATCTATACTAATACATTAAAAGGCGTTCCTAAGAACGTCCATGTGTCACACAACAAGACAATTATTATTATTATAATTATTTATTATTATTATTATTATTATTATTATTATTATTAAGGAAAATTAGAAAATAACACCTGCAAAAAAACCCGATTTTGATTATAACACCAAAACATTTCGAAATTTTATTATAACACCTACAAAAATCCCAAAATTTTGGCCACTAACGGACTTTTGGATGAAAACCGTTAGTGGGGCCTGCCACGTACACGTGTCAGCTGTGTATTGGTTTAAAAAAAAATTTAAAAAATAAAATAAAAACCTAACCCCCTAACCCAGCCAGCCCCACCAGCGGCACCACCTGCCCAGCCGTCGGCATCACCTGCCCTCGCATAATCCGGCGAAACCAGCCCCAGCCCAGCCCTACCGCCAGCGCCAGCGCCACCCTAACCTAGCCCTTCACCTGAAACCACCCTCTTTCTCCTCCCGCCAGAACCGACCCCCTCCCCTAGCCTCACCAAGAACCCAACCTCAGCAGATTCCGGTGGTGTTGCTGCGTAAAAATCGGCTGAAATCGCTGCGAAATTCAGCAGATTCGCAGGTGGTTGTCCGGAAGATTTCGTGGCTCAAGAAACCGGCTGAAATCCTGCAGAATCCGGTGAGTTTCGTTGGTGAAGTTCCGACAATTTCGCTGCTCAGGAAACCGTCAATTGCAGGCGTTTTCGCGGAGGGTTGTGGTGGGTGGGGGTGATTTTTCGGGGAGAAGGAAGGGGGAAGGGGATTTATGGGGGGGCTGATGTTGGTGGGGGTGACGGCCGGTGGTTTCGCCGGTGAAGGAAGGGAATCCGACGACAGTTGGGGTCTCCGGTTGTGTAGTGACGGTCGGCGGTGGTGGGGCTGGTCAAAATAGTGCATTGACATGTGTGTAATGTTGACTGTGTCATGTATTCTGAGATAGAGAGAGTATTAGATAATCTTCATATTTACTCACAAAAGTAAAAGAGTCATGTGAGATCATGTTTGATTCATCTCAACGAATGCTCTATTAATATTCAATCGTTATAATTTTAAAAAGTATGTAATGAATAATAATCAAATAGGTGTATTGACAAACGTGTAAAAGTCAAAATGTATCCAATAAAAGGGACAAAGGGAGTATTATACTTTAGATATAGGGTAATTTTGTGAAAATTTAAGAAAATTTTACCAACAACTACCATTATAATAATTACTTTGAGAACAATAACTACCATTTATTTATTTATTTTTTTTGTAAAAAAAAAATCTATAAAAATCTACCACAAAAACCTTGAGTAACACAACTACATTTGATTTCTTGGCAATAATCTCAAATTGAGGGTGCTAAAAAATCAGCCGTTTCAACGACGAGGGAAGGAAGAAGGGGCGATTTTATCGACCTGAGAAGGGATGAGCTATTTTGGGGATGGGGGAAGGGGGGTAGTTTCGATGGTGTAGGTGGGTCGCCCGAGTGGTTTTAGGGGTAGGGAGGGGCCAACCAGCTGTTATCGGTTGTTAGGGGAGGCGGGCGAATTTCGGTCGAGCTGGGGGTTGGGGCTAAGGGGAGGAAGGATGGTGGTTGGGAAGGGTTTTTAATTATTTTTTTTTCTTGTTTTACAAAAAAAAAATTTGGACCAATTATGTTGTGACACATCACACATGGCTTTTACAAAATAATATTCACCATTTGTTTAAGTTACTGGTAAATCAACCTAGTGGAAGAAAATCAACCCAAAAGTTCATAATGCTCCCTAATAAATGTAAGTTGAGATTATTGAGAGTAAATCACTGAAAGTTTGGATTACTTAAAACTTTTATAAAGCCCACCTGTCTGACCCACCCCATTGACGGATCTAACCCATATTATAACTATGGCGGGTCGTGGCTTTTAAAGGCCTCCGTTCCTATTTCCTACCTCTCTGAGTTACTTTGTATTTCATTGAAGCGCACCCAACGTTCTCCATTGAAGCGTTCTCCGTTGAATCTAATTCTAGTATCCCCCATTGAAGCAGCTTCTAAGGTAAGTTGTTTGTTGTTGTTATCATCACATCAATTTCACAATCTAGGGTTTATATTTGAGCTAATCTAATTTAATTATCAGTGCTTTAAGTTTAGGGTTCGTAAATTCTTAGATTATGAAACATCATATCCAAAAGAGAAGAAAATTATGAGCGTAATTTGATTATTGAATCAAACATCCCTAAAATCATGTATTTTTGGAGATAATTGAATATGAAATTAAGTCTCAGGGACGGGCCTGTAATTGAATACAGATTGATTGTTGGTAGTATGGTTGCGTGAGAAGTTTGAGAGGGACAGGGATGCTTTGGAACATGACTATGCAGTAGATGGATAATACAGTTTTGAGGATGGGAAGATTACTTGATTAGGAACATGACAATGCAGTAGATGGATAATGTCCATTTTCCATGTCTCACATGGCAAGCTCTTGCTTTCACTGCCTCAGACGGGCTGCTATGTTCTCTGTGTCACTATTGAATTCTTCCCAATTGGAATATCTTTCTCCTAGGTACCTTCTCCCTCTCAATCCTCATTCTCTAAAAAGCATCACCCTCTACTTTCCTTGTTTTCTTACCTCTTTCTTCTCCATCCAGGTTGACAGTGCATAACCCTCGACCATTTTGTTTTTTAAACCCATCGAATTACTTTTTAGTTTCTCGAAATCTCAGTTATGGCACAGTGAATTTGGTTATATCTCAAGGAAAGCCTAAATTCGAAGTACATGAAGTAGATCCTCCAAAGAAAGACAAGTGGAAGACAAAGAAGAGGCTCAAGATGCAGAGGTTGAGAGAGAAAAAAGAGAGGAACGCAGCTAATAGGAGGGATCCTCGGCGTCTCACTGTTAAGAGAAAGAAGCAAAAGTTTGCTAACGTTGAGGATAGGATCAAAGATAAGCTGGAAAAGGTATTTTTGTTATCATCGAGTATTGCTTACTAAGCTCTGCAAATGTCTTTCTTGTTCTTTTTTTGTTGAATCTTGTTTGGTATGTGCATCTTTTGCACAGGATTTTTCATGTTATACATCCTTTTGGTATCTTCTGTGTGGGTTTAACCTTCTGAGTTATTAGAGAAACCCATGTAGGATTTTTTCAAGAAAATAAAAGTTTATAGTAAAAAAAAGTTCTATAAAATCCCCAGAAGAATCGTGAAACTCTAAGTAGTATGGTCCACAATAATCTATACCAAATTGGTTGGCAAAGGTTTCTGTAGTGCATGTAGTATGTGCTAAATGGCTTCTAATAATGTACTCTAAATGATGATGAAGTGCCCTTTTCATGCATGTTTTTACTGCAAATGAACTTCCCTGCTTATTGGCTTTCTTTTACTTGTTTGCTTCTTTGTCATTTGAGTGGCGGGACTTCTACCTGGAAGATTGGTTGAATAATAAATTGATACTCTGCTTAGATTTGTAATTTTAACTGCAAACTAATGCCCTATACCATATTGTATATCATCAATTTAAATTTCAATTTTTAACATTAACTATTAGAAGAAGTAGCCAGAGAATTGGAGATTCCATCTCAGTTTAAAAAATCTACCAGTGAGCCAGAGCCATTTCATTCAGAGTGGTACAGATGCTTTGGAAATTTATGATTTATTATTTTTGGCTTACTCCTTTTGCGTTATTTCATTGAATGATTTACAGAGATGACTGTTTCCTTCAATTTGTCTTTGCCTTTTTTTCCTCTTCCACCGTGCAAGGTTACCCATGCTTTTCTAGATTAAAGAATATACATTATTTACTACTTCCTCCACCCCAACATTAGCATGGATAATAAGAGTGCCCAAATGAGAATATTTTCCCTTAGCATGCAAAACTCCAACCAATTATCAATGGGACATATTTGAGAATGCATGTGCCTCTACAACCCTCCGAAAGAGAGTGAACTTTCAGTTTGGGACATATCCTATAATAGTTGTACGGAGTATAAC